CACTACAATTCTTGATGGGTTTTTTTTCCTCATAAGTTTTTGGTTCCATCAAGATTTTGGAATAATGGAAACCTTAAAAACCAAACCAAACAAAAACCACCCCGAAACTCCTTGCTTTAGAAACTTTGAGCTTGCTGCTTTTAAATATAAAATGTAAATGGACCCGAGTTCTGTTTTTGAGACTTGAAACTTCATATTTCATTGTTAATAGTTATTCCAGGCTACTCTTCTTGGCTTCCCGCGTCCCCTAAGTAGGTCAGCGGCTGCGCAGCTCTGTGACATTCGGAAGAACCCTTGACTGTGAGTCTGGAGCAACGTCTTGTGAATTCTACCACGAGATTAGCTGCCTCGAAAGCTGCCAGTGGAAGCAATTTTATGCTGAGAAAGGAGCCCTGGGCTGATTCTAATTGCATTTCTAGTTCTGCTGCTTACAGACTGAGTGGCCTCAGGCAGATTATCTAATCTTTCTTAGTTTTTGAATTCTTATTTGCCAGGTGAAGGAATTTCTTCTAGGCTGATCTTAATTCTCCCTCTTGCTTCAGCCAGCCACCTGTAGTGTGCCCCAGCCGCCTGGCCCTTTCCCCAGGATGTTGCTGTGGTCACCTCTGTGGCCAGATAACGCTGAAGCGGACCGTGAAGAGGCCATGAGCTGGCCCTGCAGCCTCACTTCTAGGAGCTCTTGCCTGATCCCTGGACACGCCGGGATTCTCTGAGGTTGGCACCTCATGCGTGCTTCATATATTCAGTGAATGCTCGCGATGGATGTTTACAGGGAGTCTTATTCCTCACGCCGTGGTCTTCATCCTGTGACCTGGTTCCCTTAGGGTTTATTGTCACTGATGTGTTAGGGTCTGGGGCCCTGGGTTGTAGACAGGATGAGCCCCTTCCCAGGCTGTCCCAGGAGGGAATCTTCTGGGGCTTTGGTGGTGGCTTCAGTGGGACGTTTGTGGCCGCCCTCGCTGATGTCGGCTCTCAGTGTTTGTGTTTGGCTTCTTTCAGGAACTACTCCATGTATGGCTTTCCCAGAACTTTCTAGAATCTACCTCCATTCCCTCATGATGCCAACTTGATGGAGGAAGCTCCGAGCATTCATTGTTGGGTGGGAGAAGTGCCATGGCAGGGCTGGCACTAGCAGGTGTGCAGAGCAGGGGCCGTGGCCACAACTGCCCGCTGCACCCCTCCCAAGCCCCAGAGCCCAGTGGATGGGGAGGTGCCACTGTGGGGACAGGTGACAGCTGCGAGCTCCAGGGAAGAGCCGGGAAGATTTTTTTGAAATGCTCTTTAATTTTTACAGTTCAGGGCGCTTTTTTCCCCAGTTAGGATTATTTGTGGAAATACTGATTACAATTGTAAAACTAACAAGCGTATTGGTCAAACACCATAAATGTGTAATGTAGGAGCAAATGACCCTACTTACTCTTACTCTCTAGGGTTAAGGGTCTGTCTGTCTGTGCAGACATCACTTTAAAAGTGGAAAGAGAGAGTTTAGTTTCCTTATATTTAACATAAGCTTGATGTCAGCAATGACAGGTGGGCTGCGGTCAGACGTGGAGGAAACAGAACGTGAGCGAGCGCCAGCTATGAGTGTCAGTGCGTGCGTGTGAGTGCACGTGTGTGAGTGCACGCGTGTGAGTGTGCGTGCGTGTGAGTGCACGTGTGAATGTGCACGCATGTGAGTGTGCACGTGTGTGAGTGCACGTGTGTGGGAGTGCACGTGTGTGAGTGTGCACGCGTGTGAACGTGTGTGAGTGTGCACGCGTGTGAGTGTGCACGTGCGTGAACATGTGTGAGTGTGCGCGTGTGCACACGTCACTCCTGTATCTACTCACACGCGTGCACACACGTACAAATGCGCATACGTACGCTGCTGCCTCCCAGCATAACTGGAGAACAGGGACTTTCCGACCTCACCTTGCTCTGGAATCACCTGAGAGTTCATCAAACACCGGCACCCACTCCCAGAGTCTCTGATTAAGTTGATTTCAGTCAGATCCAGAATTTGCTTTTCTAGCATGCTCCTGGGTGACGCTGCTGCTGGTGATCAGGGGCCCAGCTGAGAACGCTGCTCGAGAGAATCACTGTTGCTCCTCAGTAGGTAAATCCCTCCCGAGTCTCACCCTGTAGCTCCCTAAAGTACAATTTGCCTCTTTGGCCTTGACTGTGGGTTTTATGTTTGAAAGGACCGTGTTGGTTTCCTCTTTCTTAGGTGTCTTGATTCTCATCTGTCTGGGTTGGAGCCACACAGACCTCTACTTTTTGCTCTTTCCATTGCTCTGGGGGATGAGGGTCTCTGAGGCAGCCCCAAAGTCCCAAAAGTGAAGGGTGTGAAGACGCAGTCTGTGCTTCAAGTCAGCCCATCCCAAACACGCCGATTTGGTGACGGTTATTCTGGCTCTTTTCACGAGCTCTGTGGCAGATGCACATATGGATGGGGGTGTGCAGGTAGAAATACTGGAGTACAAGCATTGTTTCCTCCCTGTTCTTCAGATTGCATAATTTCTCATGTTTTGCTTTCAAATATACTTTTTTCCCACAATATCCAATATGTTAAGTCCATGTGGTGAGTTTTTTTACTTCAGCTATTGTATTTTTTTAGTTCTACAATTTCAATTTCCTTCTTTTTATCATGGTACGTTCTCTACTAAGATTCCTCCTATGTTGGAAAGGGGACCTCTGTTTTACCTTCTTCTTGTAGAAGTCTTTTTCTGGTTGTCCGACTAAGAACGTGCGGGACCTTGTTTTGAAATAATCTTAACTTAGACCAGTGCTGTCCGACAGAAATATGATGTGACAGACATATGTAAGTTTAAAATTTCTAGTGGTTTCATCAAAACATTAGAAACAAGTGAACTTCAATGACATTAAGTGTGTATGTAAATTCATTTATATTTTAGCATGTAATCAGTATAAAAGTTTATTATGAAGATGTTGAGATCTGGTGTTCAGTTTAGACTTACAGCACACATCAGTGCTGTCTACACGTCAGGTGCACAGAGCCGGGCATACTGAGGATTCCCTCCTCTTCACCACTGCCAGAGGTGTTGGGTGGTGCTAAATTTTAGACTTGAGGGTGGTTTGCATGCAGTGAAGGTTGTTTTGCAGCTTTTTTTGCAGCCTACTCAGGTTTAATTTTAAGTGGGCAAGTCCTTTCACCCTCACTAGTTTGCTTTCTAGTTTCCAAAGTGTCGGTGCTGTTGTCTTTTCAGTGTCGTTTGTGCAGAGGATTTTGACAGGGAACGGGGAGTGGAAAGGTGTGTGTTTGGTCCACCGTCTTCCCTCTGGAGTGGAAGCTTGGTTTCTTGATGAGATGACGTCCAGATCAGTCTCTGCTGTGATTTGCAACAGGAGGCGCAGAGTTCCAGGAGAACATTTCTTACCTGTTCACGTGCTGTGAATCCTGTGTTTGTTATGCGTTGGGGAAGAGAGCTTCCTTCCAATCATTTGTGTTTATGTAAAACCCTAGCCAGTCAGAATTCCCTCCTTATATGTGATTGACCCATAGTTCACATATTCAATGTTTCATCAGTGAAAATTTTTATCTTTTGCATGGGCTGCATCCCCCCGTGTCTGTCCTCCACTAACGCCGTCCCCTTCAGTGTTTCTGAATTCCAGCAGCTCCCCAGGTGGAAGCACTTGTGATGTGCTGAATACGAATATAAATTAAGATCCTATTTATTTAAAAATAACATGTCAGTGTGGGAGGAGGGGATGATGCTGGGGAGAGTGAGTTGGCAGATGATGGAAATCACTGAAGAAACCCAAACCAGGATGGTGTCACAGTTTGGAAGCTTGTCTGCCGGCTGCGGTGGCCCCGGTGGGCAGAAAGGTGACCCGCTCCCCTTCTCAGGAACTTGATGCAGGGCAAGGAAGCAGTGCTGGAGCAGACCCCACATCATGCACCGACTCCTAAGCAGCACAGATAATGACAGTGACTCAAGAATACGTTTTGAGAAGCCTCGTATTGAACCATACACTCGAGTAAATGCTATATAAATCACTTACAATAATCAAATTGGCTCAAAATAATCAGATTCCTTAAAAGATTATAAACACTTTAAGAGTTCAATCAGTGTCCTAAGAAACATTCATTCATGATTTGGACCAAATGTTGTCCCCAGATCCCTGCTTGGGTTTCCCAGGGCTGACATCACAAAGGACTACAAACTGGGAGGCTCGAACAGAAGATCATTCTCTCACAGTACTGGAGGCCGGATGACAAAGTCTGGGTGGTGCAGAGCTGGTTCCCTCTGAGGGCGGTGGTGGACTGTCCCAGGCCTCTCCCCGGCTCTGGGGGCTGCTGGCCATCTTCGGCGTTCGTTCCTTGGCGTGCAGAAGCATCGCCCTGATCTGCCTTCACCCTCCTGCGGCATTCTCCCTGTGCACCTGTCTCCAAAATTCTCCTTCTTATAAGGGCACCCGTCGTGTTGGATTAGGACCCACCCCGTTGACCTTATTCTAGCCTAATTACCTCCATAAAGAGCTTATCCAAATAAGGGCACTTTCTAAGGCCCTCAGGGGGTTAGAACTGGGGGTTAATACCTCAACAAATTTTGGGGAGACACAATTCAACCAATAATAGTCCCTACTGGACTATATCAGGAGGGGTTGGCTTGTGAATAAAGAGTTTTAATTCTTCCGAGACTGTTTGTTACAGAAAATGGTCTTTCTGTTTATTTTTCAGTGGCTTTCACAGTTGTTAAATTTATAGTTTTTAATTCAGGCTGGAGATGGACCTCCTAAAGTGGGTAAGAGAGAGGCCTCCGCCCGCCTTCTCTTCCCATAGCTAGTGTTGAAGCAGGTTTCTGTGTGTGGTATCATTGTTCCACCGTTCAGAAAATGTTCACACATTTATTAGGCTCATCGAAGAGACGATTCACCTACGGAGTAGACCGAGTGATTTAATTTTGTAGAGGCTTTCTCGCCACTTTGAAAGCGACTGCTGAAGATTAGCATCGGAGTGTGCTGAGTCGCGTGTGAACACGTGTCTGCTTTCTTCACAGGGATCTTCGCTTTAACAGAATTAGAGAGATCCAACCTGGGACGTTCAGGCGGCTGAGAAACCTGAATACGCTGTAAGTTGAAACGTTCTGTGGGGAATCAATGAAGAAAATGGAAATTATTGCACCGTTTGTCTATAGGAGGTCTCATGATGCACAACTGTCGGGCATGAGTGGGGACAAGTAGAGAAGGAAAAGAGACAGGGTGAGCACATAAGGGCCGGGACCAGGGACCCCAGCTGTGCTCTCTGAGCCTGTGCGTGCACCCATAGTTGGCATCCTGGGTGGGGCACCCAGTCTCCGTGGTGCGGGTGACTCCAGCACGCTGTGCCCCTGGTCAGCCCTCTCCCGCGTGCCCCTCCAGCACTGCCGTGGCGAGGCTCTGGTCGCCTGGTCATGCCCCAGGGTTTAGACCTCCCGGGTGGGCTGGGGGAGCAGCAGGACAGGCCCCAAGCTCTCCAGAAGACAGTAGCGAGCTTGTTGGAAGCCATTTGTCCTCCGTGCCAGGATGGAATGCTTGGTGTAAGTGCAGGGCTGTGGGGAGCAGGAAGCAGCCAGGACTCCTGTCCGTCCTGTGGCCCTGGGGGCGGGTGTCCTGCTGGCTCTGTGCACCAGCTCCTTGTTGGTGGAAATGACCTTCCTTTAGTGGTGCATCCCATAGGGCCATAATTGTATTCAAATTGGCCACAATCTAGGCTCAAGTAGAAAATCTAAGAGACAGCAGGATAAAAATATACATTACTTTGAAGAGGAAAGAAGGAATTATTTCTCTACTGTACATCAAGGTGAAAGAATGTGAAGTGATGCACATGCTGATTCCTTGAGCACGTTTGAAATCAGGAGGGTTAAACACTAAAACTGCTGTGTGTTGTGTTAATTTAGCACGTATTGAATGTTGATGGTGAGGTCCGTAGCTTAATCATTTTATAACCTTTTCCAAGGCTACAGGAATATTTTCCCTTAACAGAACTTAGAAGATTTCTTTATTTTTTAAATTCTTACTGAAACTTTCTTTCATAGGCTTCTCAACAATAATCAGATCAAGAAGATACCAAATGGAGCATTTGAAGACTTGGAAAATTTAAAATATCTGTAAGTTAATGATCAGTTCTTTAACCCCAAAGCTTATGTTATCTATATTAAGTAGACTATTTAAATAGCATATTTAAATATAGAACTATAGTTTGTACTGTTTATGAGTTATTGTGAATACATTCATAATAGTATTTAAAAAAGGTTTTATTTTTAGAAGGTGAGTCAAATTTTCAAGGGATTCTTTAAATGAGTTGTCTTTGGTTTAAAGTACAACATTATGTGATCTTTAGCATTTAGTTAATAAACCTTAAATAAAATAGGCTGAATAGCAATAAAATGCATAGGCTCTGAAAACCAGTCTTGGAGCAGTGACACTTTTTGAGATGCAAAGTGGCCACGTGTTCAATTGCCGGTATGAACAGGTGAAATGAGTTTTATAAAATATAAGCGAAGTGGCAGTTTCCGGTTGCCTTTCCAGCTGCAGGTGAAGTGTAAAATGTGAATTACTAACCCCTTCGGAATGTCACTAATTCCTGCTCATTTGCCTGTCTTCTTCCAAGTGATTTCACCTCTGATTTTTATGTAAATTTTATTTTACCTTTAAAAATTGATTTTAGTTAGTTCATGTATTATCTTTAAAATATCTTTTGCTTGTTGAAGTCAGTTTTGCAGTTTAGAAAATGACTTCCCTGTGACGTATTGGTTTAGTATCTTTCCCATGCACTTATTTTAACATTGGAAAGGATTAAGAAAAACCTGAAATTACATCCCTGGTTCTAGACAGATTAAAAATATGTGTCATATGCTTTTAGCAAATTATTCTTACTTGTAGGATAACTTCCCAAAGAGAGCCATTTTTAATGAAGGATTTATATCAGTTATTTTTATTTGAAATTTATATAACTGAGCCTAAACATCTTTAAATTATGTTGATTTTTAAAGGTCATCTTACTAGCATTGATGTATATTTTCAAATCTGTTTCGATTTTAAATGTATCACTGGTTCTTAATTGCAGAGCTACCTTTAATTCTGTTTATTAAAATATATCTTCCTCAATGAATATATTTGAAAGTGTTATATATGAACAGTTTTTCTTCCATCATTTTTTGCATAGTATATTTTTAATTGTCTGAATATTACTAAGCCTTGTTACTCATTTTAAAAATGAAAGACAGGTCTTCTATCTGTTCTCTGAGTTTTTGTTTGTTTACCTTTTTTTTTCTTTTTTTCTTTCTTTCTTTTTTTTTTTTTTGGTATATTAAGTGCTGTGCATGTTCCAGAAGAGATCTTTTGATTTCCTAGAAAGTAGATTTATTTAGCTGGTAGTGAACGTCCGGTGTTTGTGTGTGCATGTGTGTGCATGTGTGTATTTTTAATAGTTTGTTTTTATTTTTTATTTCATTTTTTGCTTTGGGTTTTGAATTACTTAAGAGCAGCTTATTAGGTACTCTGCAAATATGATCAATGTTAAGTGGTTTGGGATACTCCGTTTTTCACCAAAGACAATCTTTTTAAAATAATGCTTGTTAAGCCTCATCTGTTGACCCACGTACCCTCAGAGCATCCGTGTTCCAACCTTTCCTTCCTCTCTTCCACCAACATGCATCCATGGTGCCCACTGGCAGTGCAGTGCCTGACACAGATCACTGGGATGGGGACTGAGGTTAGTAGCAGAGGGGGAGGTGTCACGATGGGGAAACAGGCTGAAGAGCAGGGCTGAGCCGAGCAGAGAGGGTCCTGCCGTTGGCAGTTCCCAGCTCTCTTCCTAAATCCCTCAGATCTCATTGGTAGGGTACATTTTGGTAAACATTGATTTAGGAAACAGTGTAATAGTATAATCTACATGTTTAAGGACTCTCCTGAAATGTATTGATTATTTCAGTCTTATATGTTTAGAAGTTGACTAGTCCTTATTTCCTGGAACTCCAGTTACTTCTGGTTAGGCACAAGCCTTCCCTTAATTCACATTTCCTAATGATGAAATAAATTCTTGAGATATGTAGAACTCCTATTCAAAGGGGGAATTCTATGATAAGTGGAAAATTATGATTTATTATTAGAAGATGGTCAGTGCTCAACTATTATGTTCCAGTATCTTTAAGGAGCATAGATTCATACATGATAGTTTGATTCAGTTATGTTACACATTCTTTAAAAGGATTCCTTTACTCTCATTGTGTTAAAGTTCATGCACAGTGATGTTTGCACTGATATTTCCTTTTAGCTTTGCTTTTTGAAATGGGCACAGAAACCTACGTTCAGACTTGCCTTCTGTAGCGAGAGTAGCAGTAACTCACACCTGAGCAGCAGTTACCACGTACCAGGCCATATCTCGATTATTCTGTCCATTTTAAAGGAGAGGAAACTGAGGCCTATAAAGGTTGATATCTTACCCAGGGTCACACAGGCAGTAAGTGGCAGTTCAAGGACCCAAGCCCATAAATCCTGGAGAAGTACCCACCTTGCTAGGCCTCTGTTGTGGGCACTGGGCTGTTGATCGCTGGAGCAATCCTGGCTGGTTTATGTTAAAGCTTATAAATCTTTGTGAGGTCACCTTAGCACATTTGCACAGAGGAAAGCGGTGAGAACTAGTTATAGATAGACTGCAGCAATTAAAGTTAGCAGAGCAGGTCCTGGTGGATCCTTCACCAAACGTTATCAAAGCACGGTAAAGCATTTTGCCCTCTGGAAGTGACGTATGCAACGGTATAAGCATTGAGACCCACAGTGCTGTTTATTCAGTGAAGGGGTCGGTGCGGCCCTGCCACCGAGCAGTCAGTGTGAAGAGAAGTTTCTGCCTGAAGTTGAAATGTAGGGAACGTGTGGATTTTGACCTGTCCACCTGCCCACATCAGAGCTGAAGCCAGGTGGGTTGTAAGAAGTGACGGTGGCAGATATCTCTGCATCTGAGCACAGACACCATCTCTGGTCTACAGCATCCTTAGGGGTACCAGGGACCTGCTGCAGCAGAGCTGTATTATGAGGAGATCCGTGCTGAACACAAGTCACGTCCACGATGGATGGCTCTTTTCGAGCTGTGATGCTTTGTGTGAGAGTCCCCGTCCTCGGCCGGTTAGCTGAGGGCTCGGTGAGCTCTCTCTGCAAGCACCAGGCAGTGCAAACACAGCCGCAGACGAAGTGCAAGTGGAGGGACGTGGCCGTGCCCCAGCCAACCTGACCTGTGGGCCCTGAGGCTCGAATCTCATGTCGTTCTCATGAGCCACAGAACAGGATTCCTTTTTCGACATTTTCAACCATTTAAAAATGTAGAAACCCTTCTTATTAGCTTGCAGGCCATACAGAAACAGGCAGCAGGCCGGTCGTGTGACTCCTCATGCGCCCTGCTACTCCTGTTTTGGGAAAACGGGATTCTAGTGGGTGAGAAGTTCGGGGCACAGCCAGTCTCCATGTTGTGTGGCCCCCTTCGGGTATGTTAGAACTGCATCAGTGTCAGCTGCAGAACCTAATAGTCCGTGCATCGCACACGCTGCTGGGGAACCGGCTCTGTCCCCCTCAGGCTCTGAAGCAGACATGCTGTCAACGATTCGTGAGGGGCCGCCCAAGTGTCTGTGAACTACCTGACAACCCACAGCAGCAGCCTGACCACGGCCAGTGTGGACCAGTCGCTTTTGATCCATTTGGGATTTGAGGGGAGGGAGACCTCCTGAGAGGAGCTGTACTTACCGTGTAAAGTTTTGTTGCATTCTCATGCAGTCATTAATCTAAAAGCCGTCTCCAAGTGTGGACGTAATTCTTTTCCGTCTGAAGTTGTGACCTCTTGTTTGTGTGCTAACACTCCCCAATGTTTCTTGTTTCAGCTATTTGTACAAGAATGAGATCCAGTCAATTGACAGGCAAGCGTTTAAGGGACTTGCCTCTCTAGAGCAACTGTAAGTGCCCCTCTCTTCTGTGCTTCCGTTCCTTGGGTGCCACCTGCCGTTTCGCCTCTCGTAGGGAAATGGACTTTGCATGGTGCATGTCGAGGCTGCCGGGTGCAGGGAGTCTGTGCATGAGGATGAAAGAGTAGCGGCGGGCCGCCTCTCCAACCCCACCGTCCAGCCCCTGTCCCCCCACAGCTGACATGCACTGGGGTTCGTGCAGGCACCAGCCCCCGTGCCCCGCGCCCGTGCTGCCGAGAACAGTCAGGCTGGTGGGCTCCCTGTCTCTCCATGTAAAGGAGAGCCAGACGTGGGAACAAGAGCAGCGAGTGACATCTTTTGTGGTAGAAGTGTCTGGGTGTGTGCGGCAGGAGGGGTTTTCATCGTACCCTGTTTGCTTTTTGTGACTCTGCACACATGCAGTTTAATTTCTTCAGGCCTGGTGTCATCACGTTGGAGAAACAAACTTGTTTTCCATGTAGTTCTGGTCAGTGTATGTTGCCTGTCACTAAGTGCTCCCTGGTTCTTTGGCCATCGGAAGTTGTACTTTGCTGTGAAGTCAGCATGTTGACTTTCCATAGAACGTCCTGGTTGCTTGGTTTGCTGGCCGGTCGGTCACCTCTCGCTGACTGAGCTGAGCGCTTGCTGAGGAGTTTCAAGTTATCGTGCGGCTTTACTAATGTGGACAGAAAACAGCTGCCTGTCGTAACGCAGCCTGACGTCCCCGTGCTCCACAGTTTGTTTGTTTCCATGTCTCATTGGTTGGCTGAGCATCCCAATATTTCAGAGAATTTAAGGCAGATTTGGGAGGAGGGTCCACCCTGCAATCCTGTGCTCTGGGAGCCCACAGAATGCTCGTGTTTCCAAGGAAGTATTTACTTGCTCCTGGAAAGGACTTTCCTTAGCTGACCGCACAGGGCACGGGTCTGTGTGGGACGATGTTGCCTGAAGAGCTGTATAGTCTCTGCTTCAGAGACAAGAGATGAGAAGAGTCAGATCACTGCCAGCACACGGGAGTGTCTAGAAAATGTCCAGACATAGGGAACGCTTTCAAAGGAACAAGTTCTTGTGTATAGCACGTGTGTCATGCCACGAGGGAGATAAAGTGATCACAGCAGACAAACTGTAAAGTCCTGACGGAATCAGGGGATCCAGTCCAGCTTTTTGAGGAGGTGAGGTAAGTGTTATTTTTAGGGAAGAAAGCAGCAGTCTGGGGAGAAACTAGGAGAGAGGCCTGGCATCTGTGAAGTGCAGGTAGGATTATCTGCCCAAGTGTTTTGACGACTGGGGGAGACTTTCTGAGCCAGCTAAAATTCTGCCTGCAAACCCAGGATCGGGTGAGTTGGGGTCTCTGCTGCTGAGGTTGGTTTCAATCAGTCAACATTATATTGTATGTAAGGGAGATAAAGAGCCTGATAGGACCCCAGGGCCCCCTCCAGAAGGTGCTGTCTAAGGAGGAGAGAAGTGTGCCCACCGAGAACCCCAGTCACATATTCCCACCGACGACTGCGTGAAGTGCTGGGTGTCCAGGCAGGGCATCTGTGCGGGGTCTCTGCTAAATCCAGCCTCAGCCCCTCGTTCCCTGCAGCCCCTCTTAAGACCCCACCTGTTGAAGACGTGCGTTCTCACCAGCCTCTGGAGGTGGGAGGCACGCGTCCCTGGAGCCCCTGGATGGGAGTCCACATGGGCGTGCCGGGTGCACCTGGGGTCCGCTGCGCGTCTCTGGTCCAGAGGCTCCTCGGGAGGCCATTGACACATGTCAGAAAACATGTCTGCCAGAGTCAGACTGAGGACTTTAATTCAGTGATGAACTCCGAGTACTTGGGGAGTCACTCCCGGACTTTGGTCCTCAGTTTCCTGAACTGTCCAGGGAGGGCTGGATGACGCCCAAGGCTTCCAGGAGCCCAGTCACCCTAGGGCTCTGTGAACCTGGACAATAGTGCTTTTAGCGCCTGCTAAGGCAAGATGCCTGCATCCCACCTGCCAGCCTTCCTCCTGGCCAGTCTGCACTGTGCTCTCCAGGTGAAGGACTTTTTAAGACAAACGCTCTGGGTTGGGACTTGCACACCCCCCGTTTCTGTCCTTGATTGGCCCCACTTGCTTTTCCAGTCCTGGCTCAGGACTCGCCCCCACCGGCCTGGGCTGGACTGAACTCCCCCGTGGGCCATCTTGTGTGATGGTGTGTGGTTCTCTGTCTGTCCCTGACTGGCCTGGGCTGCAGGAGGCCGAGGGCCGTGAGGGACTATGAGTTATTTTTCAGCATGCTGCTTGGCACAGACAAGGTTTTCTGTGACTGTTCCTGAAGATTTCTGTCTGGTTCTGTCTTCTCTGGGATCTCTGAATCACCTGCTCACCTGCGACAGGTGCTGATTGTGTTTTCTTCCTCCTCCTGCTCCAGTTCATCCTCTCCGCACATGTCCCACTCCAGTAGCAGTTGACATGCACAGGCCTGTGCCTGCAGTGAGCACAGCGTGTGTCCCCAGGAAGGGCCCATGTCCTGAGACTCACTTACCTGTGCAGCCTGTGCCTGGTGAGCTGACCCTAGGACGGGACAGGGACTCTGGCACCTGAAGTTTGGTGACCTTGTGGTTACAGCAGTTTCAGAAAGTTAATAAAAGTGACCATCGGGCATGAGTGTTGAGAATACTTCCTTTTGTTTGGCTTTATGGTAGAGACCTGTAACTGCTGGTACTTTGGTCTCCAGCTTCTCTCAGAGAAATGGACATTCGAATTGTGTGCTCGTTGTGGTGGATGCCGAGTGGAGGCCTCGCCCCGTGCTGTGGGGACAGGAGGGTCTCCCTGCAGAAGCGCCCTAGACAGAAGGGTGACTTCTTGTTTTACTGTAGAGAAAAAACAAAACAAAACCCAAAAGCACCAATTTTCAAAGTGACAAAATTAGTGTTCAGGAAAATTAGAAGAAATAAGTTATACCCAAAATGTGTGAATCACGGAAAGTGAGGATTTCCATCTTAAATGGAAAGGAGTAGAAGCTCTGGGTGTTCTGTATGATCAAAAGACACTCGAGGAAATCCATTGTCTTCACTCGGCGCATTTGTCACTCACTGTCTCTGCAGTTGTTTGTGTGTCTGACAAGAGACTCAGTGTCTAAAACCCTGCCCAGTCCATATATTAGTGAGTGAAGGAATTCACATCTTATATATTGTGCTGTTATTGAGATTACATTTTGTTTTGGAAATCCGTGTACTTTGAAAGTGAATTCAGTACACAGGGCGGGGCTGTCGTCATGTCACCCTGCGGGTGTGAGGGACACTCGGTCAGTGTGTCCCAGACCCATAATGTGCGTGGTCCAGCCAAGTGTAAGAAAGTCTGTGCCCGATTTTCAGTTGTATTTTATTTCCTACTTGATTATCTTTTTTGTTTTCCACACAGTGTAGGAAATCTAGAGTTATCTATTGGCATTTGAGTCTGAACTGACTTGGAAAAAAATGTTTGAGCAGAAAATCAAAATCTGAAAAAGTAATTACATTGTTTAAATTATTTTTCTTTTTTAAAACTCCTCTAGATACCTGCATTTTAATCAGATAGAAACTTTGGACCCAGAGTCATTTCAACATTTACCAAAGCTGGAGAGACTGTAAGTTGTGTTTTGTTCCTCGGTTTTGAATTTTTAGGTCTTCAGAGCCTGTGGCTCATTGGCTTTGGTAGAGTTAAGATCAACACCTCTTGAGTACCTGAAAACTGTTTTGGTATAAAATCCACATTACTAGCCTAACAATTCAGAAGCAAGACGTAATTTTTTCTTTACTTGAAAATGGTCATAAAATAGAAAAAAAATCCAGTTATTTTCTGTGCTACAGAGCATTGCTCTCAAATTAATTTGTATTAAATAAATGTAATCACTGAGATATTTTTAAAAATCTAATATATTTGACTGTTTATAGTCTTTTCTACATGTCTAAGAAGTATCTTAAAAAATTGGTTTGCTATATTATCTCTTTCAACAGATTTTTGCATAACAACCGGATTACACATTTAGTTCAGGGGACATTTAATAACTTGGAATCTATGAAAAGACTGTAAGTATAATGCCTTCTGTGCCACCTTTCCAGAAAAGCCTAGTTTCTCCATAATCCGTTTACCTGCTCCGTTTTACTTGGTATTGTGAGGTGCTTATGACAATGGGAATACTCTTTATGCAAGAGCATGCACATGTGCAGGTGAATTAATCCACTGAAAGCACAATGGGAAATGGATGACTTGGAATGTGGCAATAACTTAATCATTGAATAGGCCATTAAGATACGTTTTTAAAAATCATTTTTAAGTTCTTCAGATTAACTTTTAATTTCATGGTGCACATTTTACTTGTGGAAATAAAAGTAGTCTAGAAAGGGCCGGCCCGGTGGCGCGCTGGAGAGTGCGCCGCTTGGGAGCGCGGCGGCACTCCCTCCGAGGGTTCGGATCCCATGTGGAGACCGGTTCCCGCTCACTGGCTGAGCGCGGTGCGGGCGCAACAACGAGGGTTGCGATCCCGTTGCCGGTCCCCGGTGCGGGCACGACACCAAGGGTTGCGATCCCGTTACCGGTCAGTAAAAAAGACAAAAAGGAAAAAAAAATAGTAGTCTAGAAAGAATCTCTACACTGTATTTCACTCCTTTTATTTAGTCATATACATAATTAAAACATGTTAAGTAGACTGGAATCTACCCATTGTTTTCAAGACCTCCAAAAATAATTTTTCTTTATTCTGAGTAATTTCTTACAGTAGAATTAAGGCATTTGAGTACTGATGGAGAAAGTTGTTTGACATCCTTTTTGTGTTTTCCTTCGTGGTCTGGAAGGCCTTTCATTCAATTAAACGTTACTGAGTGACGTCCGCAGTGACCCAGACCCAGGAAAGAAGCAAGAGACTCAGACACACGCCTGCACCAGGGCGGTCTTCTGTTTGTTTCACCTCTTCAGTGAGATGAGGTGGATTGAGACCTAGACCATCATAACTATATGATTCTTTTCCTTAGGACAAAGAAGTCACCAGCCAAACTTAAAGTGCACTGTAGATGGGAGGATAGGACGGATACTTCCATGTTTGACCGATAAGACAGAGTAGAAAGGAATGGCCAGACAAACACTCCAGATGATAGCTGCAAGGCGCCCAGGACTGGCGGGGCGGCGGGTTACAGAGTCTGATTTCTCTGTTCTCAGCCTCCTTCTGCCTGCCTGGCAAATGCCCTCCACTCCCCCACCTGCCCGCTGTTCGTTGCTCAGACGGTGCAGCCCTGCATTCAGAGTGTGCTGCTCCAGAGGGCTCCTTGTGGCCTGGCTGCCCCCCAGGACCCCCATCCCCGGAAGCCTGCCACCCCCTCCTGCGGGCTCACCCCCTCACCCTCTCCTTGCCTTGGGGTGCAGCGGGTAATGGTGGAGTCTGTGTGCTTCCCTCTGTGGGCTTGGCCGAAGGACTGGCTGGTTCATTCATGGCAGCATGGCCCTGTCCTGACTGTCAGGGTCTTCTGGTTCAGCAGTGGCTGCAGGCTGTGCTGGCTGCCCAGGCAGGCTGCTGTCTTGGCTACCTCCTGGCCTCTCACCTTAGAACCACACAAGGAGCAGCTGCGTCCCCTCTGCACAGGGCCTCATAGATCCCATGTACGTGCTCGCCAGGAAAAAAAGGTTCCTCTAGCAGGCCCAGGTCTATGTCCCTGACCCCCTGATCTCATGCCCTGGAGAAACATGGATCGGAGGTGCACCTGGCTTTGCCAGAGTGGTTCTTGACAGCCACCGCCCGAGCTCACACCCTTGCTCAGACCCCGCTCCACGGCCCCATGGCAAGTCACTTCTCTAGATCCCAGTCCCCATCTGCGGACTGGAAACAGTGCCCACCTCAGTGGGGCCGTAGTGAGCTCCCCCAGGTAGTGCACCTGTGCCGAGCTGGTCAGGCAGCAGGTGTTCCTTACCTAGAACTCGTCTCCCCCACGACGACCACTTCTTACTCTTGAGCAGAAGCAGCCGTCCTTCCCAGGGGGAGGGATACCCTGCCCGGTCCTCTTGCTGGGACGGGGCGTGCCAGGCTTCACCAGTACTTCCCAGGACAGTGGGATCCTCCCGGGATTTAGACATAAACCCCAGCCACGCTGTGCAGCTCTGCCGACACACCCCCAGGGGGAATTTCAGCGTTAAGTGAGATAATAATGCTGCGGGGCCTGTCGCAGGACAGGAGTTGAACGGTAGTGAGCTCCGTGGTTGCTGTTGTGACCGCAGTGCTGGTTTTTGTGAATGGCTCCTGCCCTGCCCCTTCGTGGACTGTCCTGAGCCATCCAGCCCAGTCGGTGCCTGTGTGGAACTTGCAGCCTGCAGAGTGTTATCACTCGTTAACCCGCACTCCCTCACACCCTGTCTTGCTAGTGTCATTCTGGGTATTTTTCCGCTCCTGGGTTCTTTTTATCGAAGTGTATCTCTTCCTCATTTCCCCGTGTCAGGTGGGGCTGGGTCTCGGATCCCTTTGTGTAAGACACGTCCCGTCTGGTGTCGCGGCCTGGCAGGCCCCTGCAGGCTCATTGATTCGGGACCCGGACGTCTTTTCTGTCTGGCCAGGGTGAAGCCGTCACCCACGCCCTGGTCTCACCGGCTGCTGCTTCCTTCCCACAGGCGACTGGACTCAAATGCGCTTCACTGTGACTGTGAAATCCTGTGGTTGGCAGATTTGCTGAAAACCTATGCCCAATCAGGGAACGCACAGGCAGCAGCCACCTGTGAACACCCAAGGCGCATCCAGGGCCGGTCAGTGGCGACAATCACCCCGGAAGAGCTGAACTGTGGTGAGTGAGTCTGGAGCCCCTGGCAGAGCCCGGGCGTGGGCCTTCTGGGGGCAGGACATGTCTTCAGCCATCATTGGGCCTGGTCCTGAAAGTCACCACTTGGTGAACCCTAGACAAGGACCTCCTTTGCAGCCAGTTAGCAGCGGCACCCCTAGGGATGTGTGTCTCAAGGACCAGATTTCTGTTGACTGTTCTGGAAGGTCCTTAGCTCTGCCCTTGTCACCCTGGCCCACCTGGAGGGACTGGGTCATGACCCTCTGGCTCCCTCTCCTCGAGGGCCACATCCTGGAGCGAGGATGAGGAGGAGCAGAGCTTTTTCACAGTTTCCCTGAAGTAGGGGCTGCACAGACCACCCAGCAGGGAGCAGGTGAGGAGACCATTTAAAACGTGCTAAGGGTGAGCCCATGCCCAGGAGAAGTGCAGCTGCCGAGCCGGGCTGCAGGCGCATCAGCAGAGGTGCTGTGTCAGCGAGGGGCTCACAGAGCAAGCGGGGTTCCTGTGGTCCCCAGCTCCTCGACTGGGTGTCAGTAATCAATTACTGCTGCATGCAGTGGCTTCCCCGAGGAGTTACCCACGTACCACCTGTACAAGGCACCCTGCTCAAGTACACAGGTTAGTGGGTTTTAGTATACTTGCAGTGTGCGGCCTAAGTAATGAAAAAGATAGTGAAAGTTAGGTTTTTTCCTGATCGTGTTGGGGAGCCATGGGAGGATTTAAGAAATGTCCCAGTGAGGCTGGAGGCCTGAGGACCCCATGAGGCGATGGCTCCAGACTCGATCCATCCAGACGGATGTGGGGAGAGAGGAAGGGGGCTGGGTTGCAGCGACCCCAGACTCACACCCTGGGCTGCAGAAGGCAGGGGGGTGACCACCTTCCTTTTTGGAGAAGAGGAGGGCACAGTCGAGGACAGTACAAGTGGACTGTGGCCCGTTTGGGTTGAGGGGCTTCTTTCTGCTGCTGTGCAATGGCAGCAGCGCTGAGCCCACCTAACAGCCCCAGATGTCAGGGGTCCCGCAAGGCCCCCACACGCGCACACGCAGTCAGGGTTGCGTTAGCTGCGAGGTATTATTTTCCGTTCCTTTGTTCACCACATACAGCTGGTGGAGTTCACTGCGCACAGGGGTTAGCTTCCTCAAGGGGCGTGGAGCAGCCCGCTGCAGGTCGGCATGTGGACTGTGTCTGGAACCGTCCTTGCCCGGCCTGTCTCTGAGACTCCAGAGCATCTCCGAGGCGCTGCTCCTGCTGCATAGAGGCCCGTGCTGTGGGGCTTCTCTGCAGGGTCCCAGTCGGTCGTCTCTGTGGGATGTTCACGGCTGAGATGTGCATTGGGGCGGGTGTGGTTTTTTCTCAAACGCAGGGGTCCAGTCTGGCTTCTCCCCGACTCTCACATCATGGTGTTAGAAAGTCTCTGTTTCTTTGTTGGGCACAGAAAGGCCGCGGATCACGTCAGAGCCGCAGGACGCGGACGCCACCTCGGGGAACACCGTGTACTTCACCTGCAGAGCCGAGGGCAACCCCAAACCCGAGATCATCTGGCTCCGAAACAAGTAAGTTGGGAGCGCCGGGCCTCAGCATCACGAAGGGACGCACCGGGTGCTGAGCTGCGTCTCACTGTCACCTCCGGCCCCACCTTGCCTTATCCTCTTCCATGAGGGAGAAGAGTAAAGAGAAAATCAGTTTCTGCCCCCTCTGGTTTGACGTGGAGTGTGGCCAGGAGACGTTCCTGCCGTCCAAGTCCCTGCGAGGCGGCTCCTTGCTGGACCTCATTCCCTGAAGGCCCGGGGCACTTGCCCCTATCATGTCAGGGCAGTGGGGGACACTGGCCACACCTCTTACTCCCCCTGTCCTGCCCGAGGTAGGAACTGGTGGAGGAAGTCCTCTTGGTTCTTCTCAATCCAGCCACTTCCCCCTCGCCATGGCCAACCTGCTCTAGCCCAGGCTTCGGGCTTCTGGTCATTGACGTTGACAAACGTTGGACCTGGGCCTTGTGGCCGGGCCAAATGAGAGGAGGAGAGGCCCTGACCCCTACTGAGCAAAAGGGGTCTTGCCTTCGTGCCACAAACATTTTGAGGGGCCTGTTTAGGATGAGATGGACTCAGCTGGGTTTGGGAGCTGGGGTTGTGTGGGCTCAGGAGAGGGAAGGGACGAAGAGAGACAGAAATGGAAGGGACTGGGCTGGGCCTGACCCCCGTGCTGCAGGCAGAGGCTCCGGAGGGGATGGGGTCAAGTCTCGAGGGAACCTGAGGTCGGGTCACGGAGGGGTTTTTGGGTCAAGGTGGAGTGCTTTCAAGTTTATGTTCTAAACCAATCTTAAAAGGAAACCCTTGACGTAAAGCCACCTTCTATTATCACTTTTAAATCCATTTGGACAAGGACACTATTACAACATGTGGGAAAAAATATATTTTTTCCTGTACTCTTAGTCAGCATCAGTCAACAGCACAGAAGACAGACATCTGTGACCACATATGTGGGGACTTCTTCCCACTAGCAGGAGAGCAGCTCTCCAGCTCTCTTGCTAAACGCCGGCTGGGTGTCCTTTAATTCAATTCAATTCCAGCACTGGAGGTAGCATCAGATCCCATGGTCTGAGAGTGCGGTCCCCAAGACTGTCCCAACTACAGGTGCCACTCGCAAGCCCCAGGTTGTTTTATCGGTGCTTCTGACCCACCGACTACAAATCAGGGATTCACACGACCTCCTCCTCCCACCTTAGGCTCGATTAGTTTGCTTGAGTGGCTCACGGAACTCAGAGAAACTTGCACTTAACATTTACCGGCTTATTATAAAGGATATTACGAAGGTCACAGATGAAGGATGTACAGGGTGAGGTGTGGGGAAGGGGCGTGGAGATTCCGTGCCCTCCCTGGGCTGCCACCCTCCAGGAACCTCCACGTGTTTGGCTATCCAGAAGCTCCCTGAACCCTGTGCTCTTGGGTTTTTATGACATAGGCATGACTGAGGCATGCACAGCCATGTAGAATGTGACCGGACAAAAAGGGTGTGACCTAAGGCTGAGTGGGGAATCCGAGCAAGGCCCGTGTGTCTTCTCGGCCTCTCTGTGTGGCATATCTTCCTCCTGGTCGTGGGGCAGGACCCCTTCTCAAATGGGGGTCTTATGACCTACGACGAGACCAGGTAGGTCAGAGAATTTCTGTGTGGACAGCTCCAAGACAGAAAGTCGGGAAGATTAGGACAAGCCAGGAACGGTGGACGGAAACAAAACGTACACATCATAATATCACTGACACCAAGACACACATGTTTATGAACCAGGTCTTCCCTGATGATCTGGGCTGCAGCATCTCCACCTTGAGCTCTGGCCACATTGAGTCAGGAGGAGCAGGGAGGACATCTCTGATCAGAGCCCAGTGACGCTCACGACCAGATGATTCAGACATTGCCTGAGTCATCGTCTCTTCCAGGCGAGGCCCAGACTCCCAGGAGCACATATGGCCTGGCTCCTGGGTGATGCAGTGTTTATAGAAAAGATGAACACGAGAGTATTGAGCCTGGCATTTGAGGGTGTCAGGTGCGGAACTGGAAGACGTGTTCTTCCTCACGAAGAGATCGGAGGTTTGTGCTAGGTCCAGACTCTGCTGTCATACCCGGAAGGTGCCATCGACGGGGGACCCAGTGCACGGCAGAGGAAATTCAGGATGCTGTCCCAAGCTTCACATATCTCCAGAGTACAGCACTGGAGTGATTCCAAAATACCGTGAAGGGTGCATTTAAGTTGCAGGGAAGCATAAATCTGGCTCAAATACTTCACACCTACATTTTATAAATGAAAAAATTGATGATAAAAGTTACAATCTCATACCCAGCTATGGCAGAGGAGGAGCCAAAGCCTGGAGGCCTGATGTCTGGTGCTGGGCTCTGCCTCCACCCACTTGTGTCTTGGCTGACAGCCTCACCTGCAGGTCTGCCTCACCTGCTGGACAGCCTCACCTGCAGCCCAACCTCACCTGTATCTCAGCCTCACCTCCTGGCCAGCCTCACCTGCAGGCTGCCTCACCTACTGGCTCTGCGTGTTTATGGGAAGGTGACTGGGCCACATTTTGTGAGTTCCATTTATGGTGCCTGAGGTGACTGTTGCTTCCATGCAGAAACCTTGTGAGTGAGGACAGTTTCGCTTTGGGCAGATGGGTGACAGGCAGAGAAGATGGTGAGGAAGGTGTGTGGGAAGAGAATGAGTGTTGGTTGCATACGGGAGCATTTCAGGTGGTCTGAGAGCACTCTTGCTGGCTTGTATGAACATCATCATGGGAAAATGCTTTCCAACAATGCTGGTTTTGTTCCTTCGGCATAAGTAATCGAGCACACATCCAGACTTTGCTGTTTTCTTAGGAAACTGACGTAGACTCATGCTCAGCATTGATGATTGATTGCATGAACTAAGGGAAGTGGACGTTATTTTGTCTGTCTTGATGGTCCAGTGGCACAAGCATCTCTCCAGATCTGTTGGCATTCTCACGTGGCACAGTACCTGGCTTTTCTTATGCTGTCGACACATTTACCATAAGCTGTGACCTCAACGATGTGAGACTTCACTGTCATGTCCTCGTGTGCATCTGAACAGAAGGAGCTGAAGTGAAGTCACACGACGGGCAGGGTGCAGGTTGCAAGTGTTTCATCCTGCTGCTGCATGGTGGGAGTCCCCTGAGAGGTCACTGTTGCTCCAGGACTGCCCAGGCACACACGATGGAGAGACCTGTGTCCTGGAATGTGCCATGGCTCCACGGGCCATGGTGCATGTCTAAAGGGAAGCGACCAGAAGCTTGTGGGCACTATTATTTAAAATACAGATATGTCTTTTGTTTTTAGTAATGTAAAAATATGTTTCTACCCTTTTCTCTTGATTCAATTTGCCAGAAACAAAGGAAAGTGTTTCCTTTGAATTTTTTCTCCTATTTTCATTTTTCCACTTGAAAGTAGGACTGCTCTAAAACATGTAGGTAGATTGCACACGTGGATAACAAAGGTAAGCATGTGAGTCAAGTAGAGATGCAAATGTGTGGGATTCTTTCCTGAAATGCCTATTAAGTTTGTGGCTCTTGTGGAAGAAGCATGTCCTGGAAGGTGAGGTGTTTTACACTCGGAAGTGCTCACCTGCACGCTGTGCCGCTGGGATCCCCTTGCTAGGCCTAAAACCCTCCGCTGGGGATGGGTGAGATATTCCCTTGTGCTTTTGACATCTGAGCATCCCAGATTTCCATCTTTGTAGTAACGAGCTGAGCATGACGACAGATTCCCGCTTGAACTTGTTGGACGATGGAACCCTGATGATCCAGAACACCCAGGAGACGGACCAGGGCATCTACCAGTGCATGGCGAAGAATGTGGCTGGGGAGGTGAAAACGCACGAGGTGACCCTCAGGTACTTTGGGTCTCCAGGTATGTGCAGGGCCTTTCCCATAAGGGTCTCTTCCACAATTGTCACCTTCACCGTCCACTCCCTCCTCTCCTTGCACCCCAACTCAGTAAAATCAGAATGAATGATTAAGTCTCCCATACCAGGGGTGGCCCACGAGGCATTTGAGTGTTGCTCTCGCCCAGGGTCACCCCTGATCTGGGGATGCACACTCAGAGTGGACACAGTTGAGGAGGTGAGGCCATGGGAACCTGGAGGGACTGTGTCCACACTCTGGCCCCACCGACACAGGCCCACCTGCAGGGGCACTGCTCAGCCAAAGCCAGCCTTTGCCACTTGGCAATGAGGTCTCTGTTTTGCTAAGGGCTTTGATTATTTAAAGGAAGACAAACATCTGGATTTTTTGCAAAATTTCCATGTTTAAAATATTGGCACCTAATTTAAAAAATTTGAAAAGATTGTCCAAGCCAAGTCAAGCACAGCTGTAGATGCTCTGACACATCTGGGCTCCACTAGGATGCTAACTCTTCCCTGTCCATCCATCTTAACCATGGCTTTTGGTCAGAAGAGAAACCTTCGAAAAGAGTGGCGTGGAGTGGGCTGTGCCTATCACCACTCCTGGCAAATAGCACAGGTCATGGTGGCACCACCTCTCGTAGGGTCCACCTGCCATTCTCCTATCTGAGTCTTATCCAGGCCAGGGTGTGGTTCAAACTTCTTCCCTGAAGACTCCTGGCCTGCCCATAGCTTTACCTGCAGTTGTTCTAGGGTCATTGTTTCCCTGGGGTTTCACATTTCAGGCCATTATAAAACCTGTTGGGTGGCAATTTAAGTGGTTTATGTTTGTTTCTTAGTTTAGATTCTTAGCTCCTTAAAACTGGTCTGACCTTTGCGTTACTTGGCACGTCCCAGCACAGGCACAATAAGTATTCACTGACGGGTGAGAACCCATAGCTATCAGGAAAGCAAAAAGAATATGTTGCTGCTGAATCAAAGCCTTTAGTCAAACAACTTTCCACATGTTCAATACAGGTACTTAGCACCTTTGCAAGGTCAGACTACCATGGATCTAGCAATGAAGATAAGACACAGCTCCTGGTCACAGAAGGGGCTTGGGTTCTGTCTGTAAGGAATTAAAAATTTCACAAAATAGAGAACAAAGTGTAATATAATGTATTGTAAGTATATGTTACATAGACAAGGAGAATTACAATAGACTATGAATAATGAAATTATGTAGAAGAGTTGCTATGTTAGGGTAATAGAATCCTGTATTTTGCCAGCTTTTTATGGCTTGAGAGTTCTGAATTTAACCCCTTTTTTATCTGAAGCTCTGTGTTTCTTTCTCAGGAACTCAGCTTTATTTGATGTACTAGGTTGAGCATGTTGGTATAGCTTCCTAAGATACACATGAAGGATCTCCTACAGTCTGGGGTTCAGGGGGGTCATTGCAGCATGAGAGAATGAGCCATGCAGAAGCTCAGAAGCTAAGTGCAGGGGTTGGCGAACTACGCCCTGCAGGCCAAACTTGGCACACTGCCTGGTTTTCTAAGGCTATAAACTATTATTTATTTTTACATTTTTAAATGATTGAAACTCCTAAAAAAAGAACGATACTTTGTGACACATGACAATTACATAAAACTCAAAATTCAATGTCTATACATTAAGTATAATTGGAGCACAAGCACACTCACTCTTTTGCATATTGTCTGTGGCTACTTTTTTACTGTAATGTTGGAGTCGAGTAGCGGCAGCAAAGGCTTTGTAGCTCCCAAAGCCTAAAACGTGCATTACCTGGCTCTTTATGGAAAAAGTTTGCCAACCCCTGTCCCAGAATATAGTAATAACCTGTAGTAATAATAACAGAGTGATCTGTAAGTGTCCATGTCTCGTAAAGTGTTAAATACACTTTATATATTTTGATGCTCTGTTATTAGGGGCATATAAGTTTGCAACTTTTATTGTCCTGGTGAGTTAAACTTTTGATCATTAGCTTTCCCATTTCTATTGATGATTTTTGCTATAAAGTTAATTCGATTTAATATACATAGAACAGATTTCTTTTGATTAGCATTTGTCTCATGTACATTTTTCCACCTTTTTGCTCTAAACCATTCTGTATCTATGTTTTGTTTGTTTGCTATAAACAACATAGCACCAGATTTAAAAAAAAAAAAACTGACATTTTCTTAAAGTGGATTCATTTATATTTATTGTAATTAGCAATATAGATGTATAAATTCTACATCTTATTTTGAACTATTTGTCCAACCTTTTCTGTTTCTTGCCTTATTTTGGAATAATTAGCTTTCATCTTCCACTTCCCACTACTACTTTGGAAATTGAATTAAGAGATAATTAACATTATCTACTTCTGTTGTTTTAGTGGCTATCCTGAAAAATTTTAAATGCATTATTAAATTGCCAAAGTTTAAAGTTGTTGTCTTTGCCTTTCTCTCCAGCATACCACCTTAGTTTAAGGGCTGTTTGAGTTTTTATGTTTTTAAAATCTGTAAAACATTTGTATTATTTTGATCTCTTAAGCTTTGTCTGGATACACCCACGTGCTTCTCATTTCTGTTGCTCTTTATTTCTTTCTGTGTCTCAGCTCTTCCATCCAAGGTCACTTTTCTTCTGCCTAATGCAGGTGAATCAGGCAGCAAACCCAAGAGAGGACCTGCTTTTGGTTAAAAAAGCTTAAATGAGAAGCTCATCTATTGCCCTCATCTGCTTGATTCCTGCCCCTCATTCCCACTTCCCCAAATTTCTAATAGTTTCTTCTTCATCCTTCTAGAAAAATTGTAAGCACATTCAAGGCTAGTGATTTTTTTTACTTGCCGTATTTCAGAAACCTTTCGTTTTTCGTTTCCGTACATGAGGAATTTTCTTACTCTTTTCCTTTCTATAGCTGCTTAAAATTTCACTATCTAGATGTACTGTATTTAATGAGTTCTCTTTTGGAGTAACTTCAGATTTTTTCTAAATATTTTGCTATCACAGATCCATATCCTTTATCCAAAACCCTTTGGGCCAGAAGTTGTTTAAAACTCAGAAATTTGAGAAATATTTATAGGAGGGTAACATGTTGGGTAATCCATATACCAACTCAAACTGTCAGCAGAGTCTTGGACAGTACCCTGTAATCAGTGTGTCGGTATCCTGCAGCAAACTGTGAGAGCATTCATAGTGCGTGCAGCAAATAAAGACTGTAAGTAGCCTCACGCTACACAGATCAAGTTTTACAAACAAATAAGTCATGAAAAAATGTTGATTTTTGGAGCCTTTTGGATTACAGAATTGTGGATAAGGGTTATTGCCCTCCAAAAAACAACATAAAAATTATGTGTACATATATCAATTTACATGTTTGTAAAATATCTGGGATTACATTCCTAGCAGGGTAATTTCCTGGTAAAAGGATGCAAATATCTTCAGTTTTGATATATGTGGTCATATCTCTCCATATCAACTCACACCCCCACTTCCAATGTGTAGGAGTGCCGTTTCCACACAAACTCACCACGCAACATTACTAAATGTATGAATTGTTTTTCTAGATTTGGAGTTGAAAAATACTGTCTTAGTGTAATTTTAATTTGCATTTTTTGTTGTGAGTGAAACTGATATTTTTATATGTTCTAATTTGCTTTACCAACAACATTTTTTCCCAGTAAGAGCTACTAGCTAACAAGGTTTGACAAGACTGGCATAATGCATTTAAAATTTTACAAAGTAACAATTCCCCTTAGAGCCCCATGCAGTTTACAGGGGAAGCCCAGCTCTTACTGAAAAAGTCGCACTTGCCTACCGATCACAGGCTGCCTGCATTTCTTTTGACCTGAGGCCGTGAACTGTTTTTATTGTCTGCACATTTCTGTAAGAAATGTAAGAAAACAAGAAGTATCCAATTAAATGTGGTTCGTTTTGCTTATTTCAGAGTTAGATAGAATGAGTATCCTGAATATAGGAAAAAATCAAGCAGAAAACTTCTAAAACTGGAAGAAATTAATTGAGGATTTTTGTTTGGTTGTGACAGCCCGACCCACTTTTGTAATCCAGCCACAGAACACGGAGGTGCTGGTTGGGGAGAGTGTCACCCTGGAGTGCAGTGCCACAGGCCACCCCCCGCCACGGATCAGCTGGACCAGGGGTGACCGGACACCCTTGCCAGCTGACCCTCGTGTGAATATCACACCTTCTGGCGGCCTTTATATACAAAACGTCGTCCAGGGGGACAGCGGAGAGTACACGTGCTTTGCATCCAATAGTCTTGAAAGCATCCACGCCACGGCTTTTATCATCGTGCAGGGTAAGTAAGGGTCCATGCACAGTGTCAGAGGTGCCGTGCAGTCCTCCTGCACCCTCCTGGCTTGCCCGCACCTTGTGCATGAACTCTGTGTGGGCAGCTTCTGCTCTGTCTCCTTAACCTGCCTTCGTTTCTTCCATGACACTCAGTGCCACTTGACTAATTGCACATGACTTGGTGATCAGCTGATTTTCTGAGCAGAAGCTGTGGTGTCTGCAGCATCCGAACACCTGGCAAGCACACGTGTTGAATAAATGAATGGGCATGCACGTGTGTGCACCTGTGTATTCAGCACATCTGGCACAGAGCTTTGATTGCTTCCCCAAGATGTGTTTTTGGACATAGGACCCTGGAAGTATGTATAGTTTTATAACTTTTTGCCATGCATTTTCAAAGTGCTTAACTGACAATAAAATTAGTTTAATAGTTTTTAAATAAATTGGGACGTGAGCCATTTGTTGGGAAGCATTAAAACAGTACACAAGTGCAAAATTTTGAGAAATTATTTTCTCTCTTTTTGCCCATTTCCTTTCTCACTAACAATTTGTTGTGAATCTCTCTCTCTAATTTTCTTTGCACAAAGAGCTATGTAACCATGTTACGGGGTTTTGCTGTCTTTTTCTGGGATTGTTACTTTTACAATCATACTAGATATACTGTTCTGTAACTTATTTTTCTCATCCAATAATAATAACTGCTGTGTAGGACAGCAGTTGTACCAGAAGACATTTTTAGCCTTTTGAAAATATTAATTTAGACTGAGGAATGAGATCAACCTTTTTGTCAGCCATGCTTGCACAGAATGGGATATGACATTACCCACGCTCTGTATACGTTGTAGCTAGCAGTGTTGCTAAATGCCTTCTATTTTTGTACACCTTTTCAGTGCAATGCTGAGAAAACACCTGCCGTTTGGTATTCTTTCTGCTTTGCTTGCTTTTGCTCCCCTGGGCCTCTTTCCCTTTTCGACCTGCTCATACGTGTTGCACCCTGTTGTTGTCCTGTTTTAACTGTTCATTTTCTTGTGCAGCATTTTTACCCAGTGCTGTCTTTTAAATGTCCTGTTTTGAATGTTTTTCCTCCGGAAGCTCTTCCTCAGTTCACTGTGACTCCTCAGGACAGAGTTGTCATCGAGGGTCAGACGGTCGATTTCCAGTGTGAGGCAAAGGGCTACCCACAGCCTGTCATCGCCTGGACCAAGGGAGGTACGGTGGCTTCGGGGGGCACTGGGCCCTTTACCTGTTTCCTCCTTCAGTAACAAACCCTGGAATCAAACCGTCGTCCTGCGGCCAGGCAAACCCAACATCTTCTGGACAGGGCCGAGCCACGGCTGAGATCCACCCCACCCAAGCGCTGGGGAGGGGCAGTGGTCGCCCGTCTTTGTGGCCTTCTGGCAGCAAACACTGAGCAGCTCTGTCGTCGCTGAGGGGATGTGGGTGCCTGCTTCTCCCAAATAGTCTCTCTGTCTTGCTTTTAGTGTCAACTTAATTAGCGTCTTCGATGAAACTTAACAGCATGTAGGGTAGAACTTCCTGGAAAGGAAATATCAAAGAAATGAGCATCTCTGCTGTCCCTTTGATTCCCAGAGTCCTCACCGCTGCTGCTGCACGTGGTGTTGTGACTGCTGATCCCATTAGTTCTTTGGGTACGACCCTAGCCCACTTCCTCCTACTGATGAAGTCACAGCCCGGGTGGGGACCGAGTCTGCTGGGGAAGGGTCCCCAGGCCCACAGGGCTCCTGTCCCTGCATCCCTCCGAGAGTCCCTGCCCAGGGCTCCTCATCCTCAGGCCTCTATCAGGTGGGAGCAGGAGAGGTCTGTCCCCAAAAGTAATGCACTGGGCCTCCCTGGGGCAGCGTTTCCTCCTAGGTAGCCCCTGCCCACAATCCTCTTCCCTGTTCTCCTCTTCTCAGACCTGACTTGTGACCAGCCTATCGGTCACCCTAGTCTCATGTCATCCTGACTTCCGTCCCAGCCCTTCCTGGAGGTCGGGACGGGAGGTGTTCATCCCTCACTGACTCGATGGCCCAACCTGTGTGCAGCGCCATGCAGGCTCTGGTGGGAATCCCCTGGGCAAATGGAAGGTTTGACCACAAACTTCTGGCGAGCCCTCACTTTCACAGATAAGGTCCTCCTGAATCCCCCTGTCTCACCTGCTGTGCTCCTGTCTCCATAACTGACATGTGCCCTTGCAGGAAGCCAGCTCTCCGTGGACAGGCGGCACCTGGTCCTATCGTCAGGAACTCTCAGAATCTCTGGGGTCGCCCTCCATGACCAGGGCCAGTACGAGTGCCAGGCTGTCAACATCATTGGCTCGCAGAGAGTTGTGGCCCAGCTGACCGTGCAGCCCAGAGGTACGCACCAGGTGGCCTGAACCAATCCGTTGTCAGGAAACACAGATTTTCTGCAACCAACATTAATATGATTGCTAATTATAGTTTACTCTTCTCTGTTTTGTGCCTTATTGACCATCATCATACTGGTGTTCCTGAGGTGTTTATGTTAAATCTCTTTCCCTTTAGCTGGTGAAAACATTTATTTATTTTTTAATGGTGCTTCTGTGGAATTCAGATAAGGCTGACGTGTTAAAGTAAAACTAATTAGTTTTTCCCTTGGTTAATTAATATTACTTTAGAGCAGGGTTGTTTTTTAACTGCATTTTCTAAGGTGGTTATTTAAGCAGCATGAGGTCTACCTGAGCCAGATCAGCATGTGCAAACCCTGATGGTGTCCCAGGGGCACTGTTCTGTTTCTCTCCTGTCTGGTTTCACATCAGACCCCCACCTGCCATTTGTCCTTGCTGGGTGTCATTCATCTGCTCTCTCCAGTTGGTCTCAGCACACCATGTCTCTCTTGATAGAGGCAGGATAAAATGACTGGGGTGTGGACGCAGGCCCAGAGGTCACTAACACTGGTGTGGCCACTGGAGCTGAGGCTATTCAGGCCACTCTCGGGGATCTGGGTGGCCTGATCGAGTGCAGGGGGCTTTTGCTCTTCTGAAACTCTTTGCTGTGAATTACGAGTTTTCCTGGATTCTTCACCTTTGACTTCCAGTCACACCGGTGTTTACCAGCATCCCAAGCGACAGGACAGTGGAGGTGGGAACCAACGTGCAGCTGCCCTGCAGCTCCCAGGGGGAGCCCGAGCCAGCCATCACCTGGAACAAGGTAACGGGCCCAGGCCTCGCCTCTGCCGCGGGGAGGGTGCTGGAGCCGGCCGGCCGCCACCTGCCCGCTTCTGCTGCAGACTCTACAGCAGCAAAAAAAATGTCCACATTGTTGGCCTGGAGTTAAACATATCATGAGGTTACTCTCACCAATAAGAACAAAACAAACTCAGAACACTCTCATTTTCAGCGACAAAAGCAAAATGAACCCCTTTATTAGATCCACCATCTCATAATCAATAAAGAACGGTTTTTGATATTATTTAATTTTTCTTTGCTATTTTCGTAAGCACAACATAAACATGCTAACAGTACTTACATGTCATCAACACCGCTTTAACATGAAATGTTCCTGGGCAGACAGGGCTGGCCCACTCGGGGTCCCTGGAAGGAGAGTTCTTGGAGGGTGAAACCTCCTTCCGGCCCCTCTGGGCTCCTCCCGGTTCCTCCTCCAACCTTTCCGGCCTCTTTACTCTCCACCCACACCGGTGTGTCTGCTCATGCGATGTCACCTAAGCTTTGGGTCTGTCTGAATCTTCCTGTCACCTCAGATGCCCCCTTACAGGGACACTCCCATGTGCGCACCGTAGCACCTAGCCCATGGGAGGTACCATCTGAAACTTTCCCCCTACCCCACAGTTGTGGAAAATCATCTTGTGGATTAAAAGCTCTGTCCTCAGCAAAGAATGAGCCTGTGTGAAGGGTTCGTCCCACTGAGTTGGTTTGGATACATCTGATCGTAGCCTTGAGACTTTTCCATTTGTGAATCCTAACAAATGGCGTTCTTCCCCCGCCCCACCCCAGGAAAAACAGCTTCTGCTTTTTAGTCTCTTCCCTTACTATTATTTTTATTGGTTTGCTGCAGGATGGGGTTCAAGTAACGGAAAGTGGAAAATTTCACATTAGCCCCGAAGGGTTCTTGACCATCAATGACGTTGGGACCGCGGACGCGGGGCGCTACGAATGTGTGGCCCGGAACACCATAGGCTACGCCTCGGTGAGCGTGGTGCTCAGCGTGAACGGTAAGACTGCCCGGGCTGGCGGGAGCGCTTCCCGGGGCTGGCGTGGGACGCCCTGCGTGCTGTCGAGAAGAACGTGCCCGGGCCTCTGCTGTCACTCCAGGCTGATCAGAGTAGGTTCTAAATGATCCTAAACGCTCAGGGGACAGCTTTTCCCTAGTTCACAGGTACGCATGTGGTTAGTGCAAGGCGAGGCCACTCTACCAATCCCTCCTCCCTGCTGCCCTGACACTCTGCAAGTCATCGCAGCCGCATCACTCACCAGAGCGTTCCTTGGCAGTCACCCCGACTGTGTAATTTGCAGTCATCATTCGGCAAATGTTACTGCTATAAGATTCTATCCTCCTCAGCCGTGGTTTCTCTCTGCTCTGGTGCAGCCACGCTTGCTTTGGGGATGTCCTTCGATATAAACCCACAAATGCTCATGGACGGTCCCTTTCCTCACACCCAGTCAGCAGTCCCGGAGTCATCCAGATTCCATCTGGTGCCCATGCATGCTTGGCCCCTGCCACCATGCTGCTCACTCCAGGCCCTCGGAAGATCGCATCTGAATCGTGACACTTGTCCCCACACCGTCTGGTCTGCCTTTCTCAAAGCACAAATCCCATGATGCATCCCTGATCCTTCTGCACGTTTCCTGTGGCTACCAGTGTATAATCCACACTCTCCAGCGTCACATAAAGTACTCACAATTTGACCCAATCCTGCATCCCATGGCTTGCATTCACCACCTGGTTCCTAGTTTTTGCCTCTGAGAACCTGCTTTCTCTCAAGGCCCTTCTTTGCCCAGGGTGCCCGCCTCAGCAGGTACATGAGCCTCTCACCCACTCCAAGCTCCCAGTGGGTGGCAGCCAGTCCTCAGCCTCCACACTCCACTGAGACTCCCTTTCTGCCTTTTCCACTTCCGTTGTGACTAATTTGCCTTCTCCATCGGACATGTTAGCAGATAGGAAGGGTGTCCCATTAATGTGTAGGCCAAACACCCCACACAGTGGCTTGAACATGGTTCACACTTGTAAATGTGAACCGTGACAGAATAACTGGAAACCTTTTTCTCTCTTTTTTAATCTTAGGAAAAATGTAAAATGACCTCATTATTCCATTTTATATCGTGCGTGCAGTGTGAAACTAAGTAATGAATCCTATGACTAAAAAGCAGTTATTTTCAATTAATATTTATTTTTATGTTTGAAAAATAATGTTTTACTTTAATGTGAATTAGTTATATACAGAATTTAAAACTAATCTCCCACCCATCCTCAAGAAATAACTACTCTGAGCATTTGGGGGAATTTCCTCTTTTAAAAAAAAAAATGTAGATAAATACCTGCTTTCAAATTACTTTTCTGTGATCATTATTTAGAGAAAGCAAATTAAATTTAAACCGTTGTTAATAACAATATATTAGAGTCATAAAATTAAATAAAATCGTCTGCCTTATTGTCTGTCAATTGGCATAAAAATATTAGATTCCTAAAATTAGTTAAGTCAAAATCTGTTTGAGATATAAATAAAAAAAATAGGATTTCTGCCCAAGCAAATTTTTTCCAGCTCTTTGAACTGTAAATGTGTAAACATTTCACATATACAGAATAGCCGATCAACTCACCACATGTATGGGTCTCCCGTGTTGCTGTGATGTACGTCGGGGTGGTCTGCCCACTGATAGCTCGGCACGGGTGCAGGACATGTTGTGCAAAGTTGGTGAAGGGCTCTCTGGTTAGGTCGGTTACTACAGGTGAGAGTCTAGTGCTTACTTCTCCTTTCTTTTATGCAACAGACTTCAAGTGCGCACATCAGACGCTCTTCTGGGCACCGGGGATGCTGCACTGAGCCACACAGATGAGCATCTCTCCCCTGTAGTGCTAAGATTCTGGTGGAGAGAGACGAATAAGAAACAGTGAAAGGAGGGCTGGCCGGATAGTTCCGTTAGTGGGAGCGCAGACTTTTAACCCCAACAACAAGGGGTTCGGATCCCCATACTGGCCAGCCACCCAGAAAAAGGAAAAAAAAAAAAGAAACAGCAAAATGAATAGTTATGTTCAAATTGTGATCAGTCTACAAAAAATAGCCAGGCAAGGGGTGGGTGAGATGGGCGGGGTTTCTTTTGCATAGAGTGGTCAAGGAAGGCCACCTGAACAGTAGATTCTGAGATGGGAGCCACGTGGAGACTGGGGGTGGGGGCAGGGTGTCCAGGAGCACAGCGGGGGTGCAGTCCTGCAGTCAGGGTGAGCCTGATGACAGTGGTGGGGCCACTGCCAAAGGCAGATCCAACAGGCCCAGCCTGCGGCGGACTGCTGGGCTCGGCATGGGGAACAGGAGAATCAAGAATCCTGTGCGCGCTTGGTAAGGTTGAAAAGCCTGGAGTGAGCAGGTGTGTCTGTGTGTCTGGAACTGAAGGGAGAGGTCCTGGCGGATGGTATAAACATGCGAGTATTAAAAACATGGAATTAGGTGGAGTCACCTGGGGAGAGCCTGCAGATGGACAGAAGCTGCCATCACGAGTCCTTGGTGGCGCCACCAGTCAGATCTGTCAGGGAAGGAGCAATGACCAAAAAGACTCCCCAAGATGGACCAGTGAAGAGAGGACATCAGAAAGCGAGGATTACAATTAACCCAACGGTGTACACCTGTCAGCCAGATGAAGACAGAGCGAGAGTGCATGAGAGAGAGCCTGAGACTGAAAAGGAGTCCTCGTGAGGCAGGAGAAATCAGGAGGAAAGGGTCCCACTCAGAAGGAAGGGAGGGTGTCCCAATTAAGAGGGAGTCTGTTCCTGTCAGGAGGAAGTAGGTCACAGTCAGGGGGAGATACAGCCCACTCAGGAGGAAGTGTATCCCAGTCAGAAGGAGGTAGGACAAATCAGGAGGAAGGAGGGGCGTCCAGTCAGGAGGAGGAGGCACGTCCAGTCAGGAGGAGGAGGTAGATCCAGTCAGGAGGAGGGGGCACATCCAGTCAGGAGGAGAAGGCACGGCCAGTCAGGAGGAGGAGGAAGGTCCAGTCAGGAGGAGGAGGAAGGTCCAGTCAGGAGGAGGAGGCACGTCCAGTTAGGAGGAGGAGGCACGTCCAGTCAGGAGGAGGAGGAAGGTCCAGTCAGGAGGAGGAGGCACGTCCAGTCAGGAGGAGAAGGCACAGGCATGTCCAGTCAGGAGGAGGAGGCACGTCCAGTCAGGAGGAAGGAGTTAGGTCCAGTCAGGAGGAGGAGGCATGTCCAGTCAGGAGGAGGAGGCACGTCCAGTCAGGAGGAAGGAGTTAGGTCCAGTCAGGAGGAGGAGGCACGTCCATTCAGGAGGAAGGAGGTAGGTCCAGTCAGTAGGAGGAGGCACGTCCAGTCAGGAGGAAGGAGGTAGGTCCAGTCAGGAAGAGGATGCAGGTCCAATCAGGAAGAAGGAGGCAGGTCCAGTCAGGAGGAGGAGGCACGTCCAGTCAGGAGGAAGGAGGCAGGTCCAGTCAGGAGGAGGAGGTATGTCCAGTCAGGAGGAGGAGGTATGTCCAGTCAGGAGGAGGAGGCACGTCCAGTCAGGAGGAAGGAGGTAGGTCCAGTCAGGAAGAGGACGCAGGTCCAATCAGGAAGAAGGAGGCACGTCCAGTCAGGAGGAGGAGGCATGTCCAGTCAGGAGGAGGAGGCACGTCCAGTCAGGAGGAAGGAGTTAGGTCCAGTCAGGAGGAGGAGGCATGTCCAGTCAGGAGGAAGGAGGCAGGTCCAGTCAGGAGGAGGAGGTATGTCCAGTCAGGAGGAGGAGGTATGTCCAGTCAGGAGGAGGAGGTATGTCCAGTCAGGAGGAGGAGGCATGTCCAGTCAGGAGGAGGAGGCACGTCCAGTCAAGAGGAAGGAGGTAGGTCCAGTCAGGAAGAGGACGCAGGTCCAATCAGGAAGAAGGAGGCACGTCCAGTCAGGAGGAGGAGGCATGTCCAGGTCAGGAGGAGGAGGTATGTCCAGTCAGGAGGAGGAGGTATGTCCAGTCAGGAGGAGGAGGTAGTTCCAGTCAGGAGGAGGAGGGACGTCCAGTCAGGAGGAGGAGGGACTTCCAGTCAGGAGGAGGAGGCATGTCCAGTCCAGAAGAGGGAGGCACGTCCAGTCAGGAGGAGGAGTGAGATCCAGTCAGGAGGAGGAGACAGATCCAGTCAGGCGGAGGAGGCAGATCCAGTCAGGAGGAGGTGGCAGGTCCAGTCAGGAGGAGGAGGTACGTCCAGTCAGGAAGAGGCGGCATGTCCAGTCAGGAGGAAGAGGCAGGTCCCAGTCAGGAGGAGGAGGCAGGTTCCTGTCAGGAGGAGGAGGAGGCACGTCCAGTCAGGAGGAGGAGACAGATCTAGTCAGGCGGAGGAGGCAGATCCAGTCAGGAGGAGGAGGCACGTCCAGTCAGGAGGAGGAGGCAGGTCCCAGTCAGGAGGAACTATGAGGGCACTTCAGCAAGTTGGTGGAAAATAGAATTATCAGGTAATACACATCTCTCCATGAGCTCTCTGAAGTGCCCTGGTACCTCCCTGTTGGGAGGATGTGTCCCAGGAGCCTAGTGGAGGAGGCATTTCGATGGTGTCGATTTGCTGGAGAGAAGCGAACACCACTGGGCTTGAGATGAAGGCCACCGTGGCCTGGGAAGGCTGCTCTCAGCAGTGAAGGACCAGAGATGGGCTGGAATGAGTTATCTTATTTGGCAAACTCTGAGTGCTGGGCAAATATTAATGTTAAGTGTAAAAGGATTGAGAAGAGGAGTCCACAAAGGGGCACATCATCAGGGGACGACAGGTCACAGTGTGTGTGGTGTGTGCATGTGTGTGCATGATGTGTGGAAGGGGGTGTGTGTGGTGTGTGTGTTTATGTGTGAGAGAGCGATGTTTGTATGTGTGGGGGGTTGTGTGTATGTAGTGCGTGTGGTGTGTAGTGGGTGGGTTTGTGATTGATGTGTGTGCAGTGTGTATGTGTATGAGCCGTGTGTGTATATTGTGTGTGGTGCGTTGTGGATGTGTGTGCGCATGGTGTGTGTGTTGTGTATGTGTATGTCTGTGCGTGGCATGGTTTGTATAGTGTGTGTGGTGTGTTTGTGTGTAGGTTGTGTGTGTGTGGTGTGGTGAATGTTTGTGTGTGTGCATGTGTACAGTGCTGTGCTGATGGCTGTCACGCAAGCAGGCAGATGGGACGGGACACTGAAGGGAGCCGTCTTTGAGGGGTGAGCAGGTTGGAGTCCCAGTGTCCAGGGAAGCTTTGGCCTCTGAGTGGCAGGTCACAGAACCCGCCATTCCTGGCATCCCCAACACGTCTGTCCCCAGGGCTGGCCAGCAGGGCAGCTGCAGTCACACCTCCCCACGTGCTGTTGGGTTTGGCCTTAGGCGATAACTGCTTCCTTCCTGTCCTTTTATGGGGTATCACGTGATTGTAAAAATTCAAAAGTCTGTAATTTCGATACTATTTGAAAACAGCTTCTAGTAGAATTTGTGATAAAATAATTCAAGCTTTGATTTAAAAGTAGAAATTACATTTTGAGAAAAGTATGCCTTCCGTCTAAATGATGTAGTGTCTAGACATTGTTTTATGAGTAACTCGTGTAGTAGCTTTTCCGGTAAAATGCGGCTACGTGTTTTCCTAGTTCCTGATGTCAGTCGAAACGGGGATCCGTTTGTGGCCACATCGATCGTTGAAGCCATCGCGACTGTGGACAGAGCTATAAACTCAACCCGAACACACCTGTTTGACAGGTATGTAGACGTAGGCGCGATGCTGACCTCGAACGCTGAGCTCTGGGGCGGGAGAGGCTGGCGGAGGCATGTGGCATCCTAGTGCACAGATTTTGACCTGTTCCATCTGATGAACAAAACGTTTAATTTAAAAATCTTGAGCAACACGGGCCTCTGACTTTTTGGAGGTTAAAACAGCAGAAGGATGTGTACTTTGCTGGTAGAGTCTGAACTATGATTCACAACCAAAACATTCTTTAAAAATTTCAAGTCACTCTTTTGGCTTGTTACCAAATGATTGGGCAAAAACAAAATGTTTCAGAAGTGATTAGTGTATTTGTTCGTGTTGGTAATTCCAGGGCAGTGTTTTCTGCATGTTAATTTAAATGCAGTAGCTGTGACGTTCTCTACTGACTTAATTAATGGCTTATTTTTAGCATCTTCCATTCTGTGTGTGTTTGGGGTTTCGTTTGCTTCCACTTCGGACAGGCGAGGCACAGTACACCGTGCTGTAGACAGTAACTCCTCACACATTAACGGCAATAATTAGATTTTTGAATACTGGTTATTTTTGTCTTCAGTAATTTGCTTTGTTTTTTCTTTTTCCTCCCTGATCTCCTGCCAGCCGTCCTCGGTCTCCAAATGACTTACTAGCCTTGTTCCGGTACCCGAGGGACCCCTACACGGTGGAGCAGGCGCGGGCCGGGGAGATCTTTGAGCGGACGCTGCAGCTCATCCAGGAGCACGTGCAGCACGGCTTGATGGTCGACCTGAACGGAACGAGTCAGTACCAGGGACTTCCCGCCCCTCCCTTCCCGGTGCTGGCTGTCACACACACCACAGGCTCGTCACGTGCCTGAAGAGTGCTGGCATTTTCTGTGCCCCTGTGCTTGGGAAGCAATGTTTAGACTATGGGTTCGGTTGAGCTGACACCTCCCGTAGCTCTCACTTTGGGTCTAACAGGAAACTCCAGGGGACGTGAAATGTGCTCGTTAGGGTATTGTACACCTACTCAAGTAGCCCTCGCTGGGTGGGCTGTCTCGTCCCTCCCGACAGCTGTGACAGTCCAGTCCTCACGTGGGTGAGGAAATTTAAGGAGGGCTTTGCAGGATAATAGCTAAATACGTGATGCCCTGTCACAGAACGCAAGGCCGTGCAGCTCCTAGAAAGGGTGTTTGTGAAGAGCTGCAGCATCTGTGACACCAGCCACCAGACCACCTTCAGCTGTTGTGCAGGTGGCATGGGGGATGCGCAACCTCCTCCTACTCTGCTCGGCACCTGGCCTGGCCCGGGAGACAAGAGACGCCTTTGTCTGCCATTGTTATTGCTGTTAGCGATTGTGCTGTTGACGATATGGCAGATGCCTGTGACTTTTATTGTGTAATGGTATCATTTGCAGCAGCAGCTACTTAATCAGAGATCTGTGCACGTGTGTGCACATGCGCGCACACACATACACACGACACCCGGGAGGACGCCACCAGTAGCTGTCCCTGTGAAATGAGGGAACTGTATCAGGACGCTTCAGTGTTTCCAAATTGTCTTCAGTGAGCACACCGTTTACAATCTGGGCAGAATGTTACTCGAGAATTTAATGTTATTCTTAAGTGTGAATGTGTGAGATGAGAGAGGAGTGGAAACGAGAACCATGGGGTCACCTCTCTGTGTCGTGGCAGTAGGGACTCTGAGCCAGTTCCCATGTAGTGCGCTTCGGAGCCTCGTTGGAGCTGTGTGCAGACAGCAGCTCCACTTTCTGTACTAGAAGGGCACCTCCCCCAGACCCGGCCTCTCAGGAGGGGACATTGGAGTTGGACCCTCCAAACGTTCCCACTTTTCTTTATGGACGGAAACCCAGCCTCACTTTCCAGGGGCATTCTCAGGGAGAAATGCCATTTAAACCAGTCTTTGTTGGTCATTTTTTGCATGTCAGGCCCAGGGTGAGGCCGCGGTAAGAGTGCACCAGACAGAGCAGTGGTCTTTGGGCATCTCCCGGCCCTGCCCCAGGCTCTGGTATGACTTTGTTTCTTTCTGGTGTAAGGACCCTGTTCTCTCGTACAGAGGACGGAGTGTGAGTTGCTCAGTGTTGTTTTTTGCCACTCCCTGTCTTCATTTAATTACTAGTTCAGATCCTTAAACACTGCTGTGCCGGCCTCTGCAAGCTGACCCCACAAACCTTCTGCTGCCACTACAAAAATAAACTCATCTGGAATCCCATCCTCAAATGCGGGCTGTGATTGAAATTGCTCCTGAGGAGCAGTAGGCCAGTTTTATATCATCGCATGCTAGTTACAGAAAGATTTGGAAAGGCAAATAGGAGAAAAGTAGCATCACTCATGGTCCCCAGCAATGAGGCCATCTTATATGTTTGCTTTTTACCGAGGCAGCAGGGGGTACGCACACATGCTATTACCTCACTCATGCGTTCACCCTGCGTGCATGTCTGAGCAACGATTTATGCCAGTTGCCGTCCCAGGCCGAGAGATACAGCAACAAACAAAAGGGATAAAAATCCCAGAGAAGCACAGACAGCAAACCAGGAGGCCAGGGCACATGAACCATGCAGTGAGTGGTGCAGAGAGGAGCAGGCTGGCAGGGGTGGGGGAGCCAGGTCGGGATGGCATGCCATCTCCCATAACTGCAGATGACAGACAAGCAGAGGCCTTGCAAGAGCCAGAGCAAGGGGACCCTGGGGTGTCTGAGGGGACAGCAGACCCACAGGCCCTGAGGCAGGACCATGCCTGGGATATTTGAGGAAGAGCAGGAGGCCAGTGTGGTCGGAGCGGGGGAGGGGTGGGGTGAGAGGTAAGGTCAGAAAGGGCCTTGGAGGGGATCTAAGGGTCACATCCTTTACTGTGGACGAGATGGAGCCATGAGGGTTTTCTGCAGAGAAGCGATATGGTTTGGCACATTCTGCAGCATCGGGCTGTGTCGCTGTGTTGCTGCAGGGCCGGGTGAGGGCGGATGCAGGAACTGAGCCGCCCCCTGCTCTGGCCTCTAAACCTATGGCCAGCACGGCGGAAAAAGTGAGAGTGTTCGCTCGATGCAAGCCCAGCCTGGCGCGGGAGGAAGCGCTTTTCCTCCTGGCCCTCTGCTTTCTTGGCCCTTTGGGTGTTCACGATTGAGACTTCTGAGACTTCCTGAATAACTGAACATGGAGCCAGACATTTCAGCTGCACCGGTGCTGTGCTTGGGAAGCAGGCTCTGCTGAAGCCTCCTGTGTCACACGCAGCTGGAGCCCACGGCACTGGGGAGGGGCGGCCGCAGGTTCCACGCCCTGCACAGTTTCCCACCAGGACCTCAGTGGGTGCCTCCTCCTGCTTCTCCCCAGCCTGGAAAATCTCTCACCTCCCGTTCTGTTTTGCGTTCTTGTGTGGATATTTCAGACCCACACACACAAAAAGAAGGCTGTGTCTTGTTTCAGAGTGGGTCCTGATAGCCAGACATGCGCTGGGGAGGGTTTAGAAAGAAGATGCAGGCACAGCTCAGAATGCAGCAGTGAGCCTGTGAGCATGTGAGGGTGAGCATGGTGTGCTGAGTGTGCTTGGGTGTGTGCGAGCATGTGTCTGTGTGTGTGTCTGTGAGTGTGTGCACATATGTGAGTGGAAGTGTGCTCTTTGTAAACACGTGTGAGTGTGTAGTGTTCTGTGTGTGGCCATGCCTGTGTGCATGTGGGCGTGTGCACACGTGTGCATGCAGCTGCTTGGGCAGGCCCTAGGGCAGGCCCGTGGAGGAGGGGCACTGAGGGAGAGCCTGGCTGTGTGTGTTCAGGGGAAGGGCTTTGGGAAGCTGATTCGGAGTGTGTCTGTTCCTGGAGACCTGGAGAAGTGTTGTTTCTCAGGAGCAGATGTCTTGAAGGCAGAGGCTGGGAAGACAGGGTTCACCTGCTGGAGCAGTGCTCCAGGCTGACAAGTTTGGAGTTTCTTCTGTAGCTGGTGTGCAAAGGCTGAAGGTTTTTGAGCGAGAAGGTGACCCAGTGGAGCCTGCAGGTAGACCACTGTGTGTGTGGTGAGGCTCCGCGAGGCAGGAGGCTGTTTTTTGAAAGTTAAGTCAGGCAGCAAAAACATCTGGCTGGGATAATGCCAGAGGAACAGAGAGGAGGGCGTGGGTCAGGAATATTTTGGAGGTATCCTAAACAGAGGCAGCAGTTGCTTGGACAGGGGACAGCAGAGCATGGAGCCTAGGTGGACTGAGGTGTGGAGTGACAGGTGTCTGGGAAAGTGGTCCTGTTCTGGGGGCGGGGAGGCTGCTGGTGCTCAGCTGCGTTGAGTATTACGGACACAAATAGGGCTGGATGGGTGAACGTGGAAACGCAGGGGATCCCCCACGAGGTGGGTCCTCTGTGAAGGAGACGTGGCTGCAGGCCGGAGCTGCCTGCTTTCCAGTGGAAGTAAGCTCTGTCCCTCTCTGCTCTCTGCTGCAGGCTACCACTACAACGACCTGGTGTCTCCGCAGTACCTGAGCCTCATTGCCAACCTGTCGGGCTGCACCGCCCACCGGCGCATCAACAACTGCTCAGACATGTGTTTCCACCAGAAGTACAGGACCCACGACGGCACCTGCAACAACCTGCAGCATCCCATGTGGGGCGCCTCGCTCACCGCTTTCGAGCGCCTGCTGAAGGCCGTGTATGAGAACGGGTTCAACACCCCCCGGGGCATCAACCCCCACCGGCTCTACAACGGGCACGTGCTGCCCATGCCCCGCCTGGTGTCCACAACGCTGATAGGCACGGAGACCGTCACGCCCGACACGCAGTTCACCCACATGCTCATGCAGTGGGGCCAGTTCCTGGACCACGACCTGGACTCCACGGTGGTGGCCCTCAGCCAGGCCCGCTTCTCCGACGGGCAGCACTGCAGCTCCGTGTGCAGCAATGACCCTCCCTGCTTCTCTGTCATGATCCCCCCCAATGACCCGCGGGTCAGAGGCGGGGCCCGCTGCATGTTCTTTGTGCGGTCCAGCCCCGTGTGTGGCAGCGGCATGACCTCCCTGCTCATGAACTCCGTGTACCCTCGGGAGCAGATTAACCAGCTCACGTCCTACATCGATGCCTCCAACGTGTACGGGAGCACAGACCACGAGGCTCGCAGCATCCGCGACCTGGCCAGCCACCGCGGCCTCCTGAGGCAGGGCATCGTGCAGAGGTCTGGGAAGCCGCTGCTGCCATTTGCCACGGGGCCACCCACCGAGTGCATGCGGGATGAGAACGAGAGCCCCATCCCCTGCTTCCTGGCCGGGGACCACCGCGCCAACGAGCAGCTGGGCCTGACCAGCATGCACACACTGTGGTTCCGTGAGCACAACCGCATCGCCACGGAGCTGCTCAAGCTGAACCCGCACTGGGACGGTGACACCATCTACTACGAGACCAGGAAGATCGTGGGCGCGGAGATCCAGCACATCACCTACTGGCACTGGCTCCCCAAGGTCCTAGGGGAGGTGGGCATGAAGATGCTGGGCGAGTACCGGGGCTACGACCCTAGCATCAATGCTGGAATCTTCAACGCCTTTGCCACGGCTGCATTCAGGTTTGGCCACACGCTTGTCAACCCACTGCTGTACCGGCTGGATGAGCACTTCCAGCCTGTTGCCCAAGGCCACATCCCCCTCCACAAAGCCTTCTTCTCCCCATTCCGGATCGTGAACGAGGGGGGCATCGACCCGCTGCTCAGGGGACTGTTCGGGGTGGCGGGGAAGATGCGCGTGCCTTCCCAGCTGCTGAACACGGAGCTCACAGAGCGGCTCTTCTCCATGGCACACACGGTGGCCCTGGACCTGGCTGCCATCAACATCCAGCGGGGCCGCGACCACGGCATCCCGCCCTACCACGACTACAGGGTCTACTGCAACCTGTCCGCGGCCCACACGTTTGAGGACCTGAAAAACGAGATCAAGAGCCCCGAGATCCGGGAGAAGTTGAAGAGGTGAGTTCAGAGAAACCGGCTGCGGTGACGTGTCTGTGTAGACACCAGAATGACCTAGACGGGGGCTCTGTGTTGCTGTCAGTCTCCACGTTAGAGGTGTTGTGTGTGTCGTGGAAAGGGTGGATGAGGGAAGCCCGTGAGGGTCCAGACCGGCCTGCACGTGGCCCTGGGGGCTGCGCGCCGAGTTCCCAGAGGAGCGGTGACTTTGCAGCTGGAAGAGGGGCTGGGCTGCTCTGCACGGAAGACGCCAGAACCCAGCCTGCTGTCAGGGGCTTCAGGGAGGAGGTGTCCGCTTTTGTGTCGGGAGCAGAGATGGCAGAGATTGGCACCAGCTTCCAAGGGTTTTCTGGCAGCCTCTCCTGCACTCACCTGGGTACCCAGATCTGGGCTATGTGGCCACATGCTGTGACTGCCTGACGGTGCCGGCGTCTGGGAGCAGGTCCCACCGGCCTGCTGAGGTGGGCATGCGCGGGAGCGTCAGGGCAGCCAAATGAGGTTTTTCAGGTAAAGCAGAGACCAGGGTGCCACTAGGCGAGGAGGGGCCCGGGTCTGGGTGAGGATTGATGTCACCTGACCCACAGCCGGTCCTCTTCCCTCTGCCACAATAGGGTCACAAATTAGGCTTTTAAAGTTCTCCAAAGTGTAGATATTCGGGCTCTCTCTTTTTTCCTGGTGCTCCTTTCTGTCTTTTCCTCATTAACTTCTTTTTCATGTTATTTATACCAATTTATTTGCATCAATCTTTTAAGGAATAAAAGTAATTACTCATTAGAGTTTTCCCGTAACGATTATTCATAGTCCTTGGATTTATGAACTAAGTCCACAGGTCACTGTGTATTTAAGATATATCAGTTTTTATTTGAAAAGATTGGTTTTTTGTTATTTTTTTCCAAAAAACGCTCTTAAGACTGACTTTTCGTATTTTCTGGACTCTTCTCGTCTACTTTTAACTTACTCAGCACTGAAGTTAAGACAGACCCTGTTAGGATCTGACTTGTGCCTCCTAGAGAAAAATTATTTTTTACTCATAATTTATTGCAAGTTATGAATAAATGAACTTTATGTCCTATTCAGTTTAATACGTTCTGTTGTCCAGTTAAGTAGCAGTATCCCATTACGGGCATAGGGAAATATGTACGTGCTCCACTAGTACAAGGTCGTTTTTTATTGCAGTGTTGCTTAATTAGGATTTATGTGAACTGTCTGTGTCTGTGCTTTTCATGGGCTTGGACATTCTCCTTTGTTCTGGTCCAGACTGACACAAACAATGTTCCCAGTCGATTTTCTCATTTGCCAAACTTATTTCAAAACAGCTCATGGGAATTGTCAATCCAGCCCAGTGCAGCTGGCGATGGGTGGGTGAACCTCGGCCAAGCTCCGTGCTGGAGACCCCGGGCTGAGAAGTTAGTTACTCACCCTCACCCTGAATCACTCATTTATTTTCTTTGCCTCCTAACCCATGACTGACAGGGGAAATGAGGCACGTATATGAGGAAAGTTAGAAGGTGACACAGAGTGTGGGGCCCTGGAGGCCTCATAGGGAAGAGAGACTGTTTTAGGCAGACCTGAAGGGAGTGCGTCGTTCTGACATACTTTACTGGCACCCAGATAAAGTTTTGCATGCTGTCCCTGACTGGCTGTGCCTCCTACAGCAGGCTGTGCAATATCCTGGGGTCTCCAAGGCCTCTTCAGTGGAAGGAGCTCCTTGGACTGGAGAGGAGGCCTCAGACCCCTGCTCTCATGCCAGCGTGCCTGAGGAACAAGATCCTTCCCACCCGCACAAGCAACCCCTTCCAGAGGTGGGGCAGGGGCGGACGGAGAAAAGGGGGCTTCCCCGGAAGAGGCCCAGCCACAGACCAGGGCCCCCAGGTTCCTCCTGACCAGTCTGCTTCCTGGTGGACGTCATAGAGCTAGAAGCTCAGTGTGAATGTCACTGGACTTAGAAGAAAATGAGCACAATCTGTCCTTCTTTGAAGGACTAAATGGAAGTTTAAATAAAACTGTATTTATTCCACGTGTGTGATGGATGCCACGCAGCACGCAGCCCTGCGCGAGACTTGTTCTTTCAGTAGAGAGCTCGCCGTCTCGATTAGAAGGCTTAGTCCAGTGTCACTACTTTGAACGTTATGCAAAAAAGGCAGTCGGAGTTATAAGGTATAGTTTTTTAAAAACTCTAGTGGGGCTCTGAGTAGCAGTTGAACCTGAGATGCCATCTGTTGCCTAATACAGTTCTTTGGATAGTATAGAAGATTACGTAAAAATGATTCATAGTAAAGTTGTCAGGTCTTTGCTTGTAAGCGTGTATTTCTAAGGAATCAGAAGAGTTTGATGAAGATGTTTGTTCTTGGACTGGTCGGTTAGCTCAGTCGGTTGGAGTGCGGTGCTGATAACACCGAGGTCTGGAGTTCGATCCTTGGACCGGCCAGTCACCAAAAACAAATAACAGAAGACGTTAGTTCTTGAACATCTAAATCTTATGCTAGTGCCCTGTTTGCTTAGCAAGTACTTCCATTATGGCAAACATATTTTCAATATGTAATAGAACCCAATTTCATTCTTTTAAAAATGTGTCTGTAGCTCCATATAGCTTATTATTCATAAATTTATGAAAAAAGATGGAAGGACATACAGTATGGTATTAAATGTGATTATCCCTGAATAGTAGGGAAAGGTACAATTTAAATTTTATTCCTTATATTTTTATGGCTTTTCTAAATTTCTTACAATAAATAAATTTGTGTATGTATTTTAACATATGTATACATATAGAACAAAGTGGTAAAAATTCTTTGTAGCATACTGGATGGATGCTTTGAAGAAATAACGGTAAGTGTTCTCTAAGTAGAGTGTAGATTACGTAGAGGCTGGAGAGCGAGGCTGGCCCGTGCTTGCAGTCTGTGTCAGCGCGCGGCTGTTCAGTGACCTCAGTGTTGGCTTCGTCCTCCACAGGCTGTATGGCTCCACGCTCAACATTGACCTCTTCCCAGCCCTCATGGTGGAAGACCTGGTCCCTGGCAGCCGGCTGGGCCCCACCCTCCTGTGCCTGCTCAGCACACAGTTCAGGCGCCTCCAGCACGCAGCTCAGGCGCCTCTGGGACGGGGACAGGTAAACACTCATGTGCTGCAGAGGAGAGTCCCTTCTTAGGCCCACTTTTTCGGGGACTTGGGAGAGAGGAATCTCCTGGCTGAGAATGAGGCATTATTTTGGGGCAGCTCCGTGGCTGCCTTGGCATGCCTGGCACGCAGCATTAGGACTCAACCACAGCAGGTTCACAGGTACCCTCAGACTCCTTCTCCTAGAAAGAATATTTCTGCTTCTAGAAACTACTGGACAATCCATACCATTAAACCACTGGGGACTCTAGAGGAGTTTGAACTTCTGGCAAGATTTTAGTTTCATTTTTAGTCCAAAATGATTAGTTCACTAACGTACGGGAAAGGTGGGCCTTGCCTGTCAGTAAGGACTTCAGCAGATGGCTCCCTGCCGTGGCAGCTGTTTGTGAACATGGCCTTTCTTCTTTGTTGCTAGCCAGGAAAGCCACCAACCATCTTTTATATTCCAGACTCTGCTTTCGTTTCCATTTTTGTGATAGGAAATGAGCCATGTCTGAGCTAATTTTTAATTGATTCCTAACTGAAACCAGAGATGTGTGTGGTGTTGGGTGAATGCTGCAACCCAGCCCCTGTGACCTGTGAGTGTCCTTGTCTTTCTCTGACCCTGCTCCCACTTTGGGGGAATCCAGGTTGTGGTATGAAAACCCAGGGGTGTTCTCCCCCGCCCAGCTGACCCAGCTCAAGCAGACGTCCCTGGCCAGGATCTTGTGCGACAACTCGGACAACATCACGCATGTGCAGGGGGACGTGTTCAGGGTGGCGGAGTTCCCGCACGGGTACAGCAGCTGTGCCGACATCCCCAGGGTGGATCTCCGCGTGTGGCAGGACTGCTGCGAAGGTGCGTTTCGGGAAGGGCCCCGCTCCCTCCTCATCTTTTCTTCTTTTCCACAGCCAGTTATGGTGAACCTAACACATGCTAAATGACTTACACACTAGTGAGAACTGGAAACAAAATATTCAGCTATAGTGGATGTATTGAATTGTAGTATAACATACCGAGGTATGCTACAGAGCCAAAAAATAAATTAAAAAAGGCATGATTTTGAGGAATGTGTAGTGACATGGGATATATACATGATAACTAAAACGCTATGTAAAAGAAATGGAAACAACCATCATGTAAGATGTGCTCCTAATTTTTTTAAAAAAGCTAATGCCATTCTAAATACGAGTACTTGTGTGTTAGCCTATGTATCTGTACTCACAGATAAAGCATGAAAAGTAAACCTATCAAAGAAGCGTGTCAGATATATCAGATTTTGTTTTAAAAAATGTGTGCTGAGTTTCCCACATGTCCACAACACGTGCATGGCCAGAGCAGGGAGTCACAGGACACCATCTGGGGAGTGAGAGGCTCCTGCAGGCGGGAGGCCTTCCCGTTATGCTGGGAGGGCTGGCAGCGCCCGTCTGCATGCGCTGGGGCCCTCGTGCACGAGCCTCGCCCAGCACCTGGGCCCTGTGGTCACCATGCCCACGGCCTCGTGTCCCGTTTGCATCCCTAGACCCCTCTGCTAGCCTCGATTTCCACTGTTTTGGCTTTATCCAAACTACCATCGGAGCCCCTTTAATATTAAAGCTGAGGGGGCTTGGACCCAGGTCATTTACATCCTTGTTATTGTGTCTGTTGAAACCTGCATCTGTTTTTACTTGTGTTGTCTTGTTTTTGTTTTATATTCTCACTGGTTTGTTCAATTCAAAATGTTCTTCCACAAGCATGGCAGAGAAGTCGTTCTGTGTTTGCAGAGAATTGTTCTCTCGAAAACCTTTGGAAAACTCCAATTCATCTATTCTCAGATTTAAAAAAAAAAAATCCATTTTCAGACAACTTTACCAGGCTCCTGTAGCTTCTTAAGAAGGGGCAGAGCCCGTTTTCCTGTTCGTTTGCTCAGAAAAACCAACGTGCTTGAAGGGCTTCGTCTGTGAGTCCAGCTCTGTGCACCCTGTCCTGCACGAGCCTTTGCCCTGGGCTGGTCAGCTGCTTTAAGCAGCTGCTGACACACTGCCTTCCAGGTACGTTTCTACCTGAGAACACCAGTCCCGGCCCTGGGCTGACAAAGCTCAATACATTGTAAGCTTTATCTGTTTTTATTTTAGCCCAAAAGCCATGTCTAAAATTTAGCAGAAAAAGAAAAAGAGATTGAGGCTTGACAGGACCGAATGTTGATTGCTATCTACTTTTCAGTTCAACTTTTTAAAAAGACACTTTTAAAGCAAACTTCCATGCACTGTATTTCTTAATCATTTCAATATTTAATTTTAATCCGTGATACCTGCCCACATAAGAAACCTGAGAAAAAAGTCCTGGGTATATCCAGTTTCTTTTTCTTTTGACCCAGGTTATAAACTACAACTTCTTTGTGGGCATTGGTGAGTCTTAGAGAAGAACACACACTCACACATACATGAACATGCACCTGAGTATGTACATGCACACACAATACACATGCACATTGGGACACTAGTACATGGACACACAGACACTCGTAATTTTGTTATTATTGCAATAATTATTGAAGCATTACAAAGAGTTCCTATGCTTCACCTATACTCATCAGTTGTTAACATTCTGCCATATGCAACCCAGCATCCTTTCTCATTTTATGTGTGTGTGTGTATGCGCATGTGTGTGTGTGTAAAATAAAATGCATATGTTTTTTTCTAAAATACCTGAGGAAGTTGCAGACATGATGTTGTTTTATTTCTAAATAATTTACTTGTGTGTGTGATCAAAATTGGGAAATTAAGTAGGAACAAAATATTGTTATCTAATTTCCAGATCTTGTTCCAATTTTATCATTTGTTCTGATAATATCTTTATTATTTTATACCCTAATGCAGGTGATTCCACCAGGTCATGAATTATAACTCATTTTCACGTCTCTTTAGGCTTCTCTGGTCTGAAACAGTTTCTCAGTCTTTATCTTGCTCCTTTTTGTAGATTTCCTCTCAGTTTGGGTTTGTCTGACATTTTTCTCACTGTTGGATCCATATTCTGCATTCTGGCATTTATACTGGATAATCGCAGTTATGCTCCCCTGTCAGGAGGCAAGTGATGTCACTTTGCCCAGTTACTGGTGACACTGATTTGCATCACTCCATTGAAATGTGATGTCCGTGTTTAACATTAAAAAGGGGTGGGGGAGACTATGAAAATGTTACTCCGGTTAGAAGATGAGCATTTTCTTCTTTTAAAATGAGCTCTTACTACAACCCCGGACGGCACCTGGGCTGGAAGAGTTTTCTAGGCATAACTGGGTGCTTGTGGTGGGGATTTCAGGTTCAGAACTCGCCATCTCCCACCCGCACAGGACTTCCCCAGGGACTTCATGGGTCCAGTGCATTTGCACTGAGAACACATCTGCTTCATCAGCATCCACACCAATAAGTGCCCTGTGAGGCCCGCACTGGGTCCAGGAAGCCAGCCTGCTCCTGGCCTAGTGAGATGAGGTAGCACGAAGCCAGGTGCATGCCAGCCCGCTGAGCAGATGTGACCAGCTGTGCCCCATGGCGTGAGGGAGAGATGCAAGGGCATTCCTGGCAAAGACAGAGGCCCTGAGTCCCCAGAGGGCCCTTCCTGGGAGAGCTCTAGGGTCAGGGGTAGGCGCACCTGGGCAGGGACCCCCACGGTGCCGTGATCGGGTTGAGGCCCCATCTGCCTCATTCCTGCCCCTGGTGCCCCCCTCAAACCACCATTACATCCATGATTCTGCAGAGACCCGCCCCAAACCTGCACAGTCCTGGGTGGGACAGAGAGTGAGAACCACCTTCCTCCTCCTATGTCTGCAATGTTGAGGCCCCGCTGGCTTCAGAGCAGGTGCAGGAGAGCCCGACCGGGAAAAGGCTCTGAGCAGCTGTGTTGTTGCTGGGAGGGCCTGGCTGGGAGGGGACGGCTGCTGCTACCTGTCTGTGCCCCCAGGAGCAACTCTGTGAGTCTCTGTTCTTCTGAGATGCCTGGCAGGTAGAAGGAGGTGAGGTGGGTCCGGTCTGCTGCGGCTGACTGCAAGCTGCACAGCTGGCTGCTGAAATAAACTGCACGTCATTTAGTGGGCTGCTTATCGCTTTCATTATGGGGCCGAAGTGGAGCTTTATGACTCTGTCTTGAAGAATGCTCACAGTCACAGGAACAAGCTAGACCAGAACGAGTGCCAGTCACAGGACAGTGACCAGCGTAGCTTCAGTTCAGTCCTCGCACACCCTTTCTCCTGTAGAATTTCTACCCCGGCAGCTCTGCAAGGCTAGAAATCTGAAAAGGTCCTATCTGGCTTTGCCCTCACTCTCTGCAATGCTTTCCTGGGCCAGAGTGAGCCACAAAACAGATGTAAAACCCAGTCACTTTGTTGGATAGTGTGAGCGAAGGTACAGGTGTCACACAGCACCGAGAAACCTCACTCACCTGTGGCCCAGGTGGGACATGGTGCTGAGACACCTCACTCACCTGTGGCCCAGGTGAGACACAGCACTGAGACACCTCACTCACCTGGGCCCAGGTGAGACAGCGCTGAGACACCTCACTCACCTGGGCCCAGGTGAGACAGCGCTGAGACACCTCACTCACCTGGGCCCAGATGAGACACAGCGCTGAGACACCTCACTCACCTGGGCCCAGGTGAGACAGCGCTGAGACACCTCACTCACCTGGGCCCAGGTGAGACAGCGCTGAGACACCTCACTCACCTGGGCCCAGGTGAGACACAGCTCTGAGACACCTCACTCACCTGGGGCCAGATGAGACACAGCGCTGAGACACTTCACTCACCTGGGGCTCAGGTGAGACACAGCACTGAGGCACCTCACTCACCTGGACCCAGGTGAGACAGCGCTGAGATACCTCAATCCAGGGTGTAGGCAGGAGTTCTCATGTGGCATTTAAGACTTAGCAGGAACAGGCACGACCTGCCTCTCGTCCAGGAGTGAAGCCTGGAGGCTTGATGCAGGGGTGTGCAGGTGATGTGAGGTGCTCCAGAGCACAAAATCTGCCCGGTCATGGTGGCAGGATCCCCAGACATGAGCAGACCCAGACCCCTGAAGGCGGAGCACCTGGGTCTCCATGTGTGGGTGGCAGGAGACCAGAGAAGGGTTCAGACAACAGGAGGGTGAGCGGGTAGCGTGGGGGCGCCGTCGGGTGGGGCTGGCCGTCCTCAGGGACATCAGGAGGGCTGGGGTACAGGAGAGGGCAGGACCCACAGACCAGCTGCTGGCTCATGACCACCTCAGCCACTGCTTGACGTGAAGGTGTCACAGTTCATTTCATAAACACACCATAAAGATTGTTAATATCTGATAGGGTGTCCTTAATTTCTCCTAAAATTGGTCATCAACAGCCATGTACCCCTTTATGCTTTCCTTTCAGACTGCAGGACCAGGGGACAGTTTAACGCGTTTTCGTATCATTTCCGAGGCAGACGGTCTCTTGAATTCAGCTACCAGGAGGACAAGCCCACCAAGAAAATGAGACCACGGGAAGTACTGAGGTACGGCTGTCTCTGGGGTACACTGCGTGGAGAGCAGCCCTCCCATCGTGGGCATCGTGGATAGGGCCGCTGTCCTGTTGTCGGGGATGGTGTTCCCTGCACGTCCACTGGTCTGTGTGTTCGGCAGGGACATCCTTGGGCACAGGGGATGGGGGGACAGGCTGCCCCCTACGTCCTGCTCAGCCACAGCCCCTCTGCAAGCTCGGAGCGTCCGTCCCTGGAGAAGGGCACACAGTCAGGAAACGTCGATTTGAACCTGCATAAAGTGGCAGCAGTGGTGAGCTGCCGAGGTTCTACTTCACTGCTGCCTCCTTTCTCCCTCCCTCTGCAGTGTCGTGAACCACCAACATCCCAGAAATGCCACGTCAGCCACCTATGAGCACTCCAAAGGACCAGGGACAAATGACTTCAAAGAATTTGTTCTGGAAATGCAAAAGACCATCACAGACCTCAGAAAACAGGTAATGGTGGCCTTGGCCACCCGACGCCTCTACCTCCAGCAAACATTTTCGACAGTGCACATGCTTCCTGCATGTTTCATGACTCAGGTGCCCATGAAGGTGTGGGTTCTGCCCGGCAGCACAGGGCCTGGTCCTGGAGCCTCTGGGACACCATTTCTGCCTGCTTTGCTGTCCTTTCAGCTCACCTCAGCTGGGCCACCGTGAGCTGTAGTCCTCAGCTTCCCAGGGGGTCAGGACACCCGGGCAGTGCGTAACTGGTGTCTCTGGCCACAGGGCTGCCAGCCAGGTGACATGGTGGGCACGGACACTATGTCATAGAAAACTCAGGATTAGGGCATTGTGGCAGAATTCACGGAATTCTTTTTCTGTTTTTGTTTTTGGCAGCTGCCCAGTAGGGGTCCAAATGAAGTCCTGTCCTTAAGCCACCGTTCAGGAATAACTTAAATAAGTATCCCCAGGGAGGGTAAGGAGGGTTTTGAGGCCGATACTCCACGTGTTTGGTCAGGTCTCTCTGGGTGTGAGGAAGGTCCTGATGTCTGCGTTGTAGGACAGCAGGGATTTTCAAATTGGGTTCTTCACAGAGGTTTTGCAAAAAATGAATTATCTCCGTTCTCTCTGCCCAGAAGCTTATTTCTACCTTTTCTAGTCACTGTACTGAGGTTATCAGTGTGGTTTTATTTCAAGGGAGTGGAGATTGAGATCTAAGGCTAGAGAATAGGGAGTGTGCTCACCCCGTGGTGGTGATAGGAGTCCCCCGGGTGCACATGGAAGGTGGCCCGTGGTACTTTGGGTTTGTAAGTTCAGCTCCTCTCCAGGCCACAGGATCCTCAGGCACCAGGTTTGGGAGAGATTTTGCATTTCTTCTAGTGTAGCCCAAAGTGGTCTTCCAGCTGAATAGGAGGCGTGCCGGCTCTTTCCACGCCTGACCTGGCCTGTCCTACAGGTTCAGGTCCACCTGCCTCCGCCATCTGGAGCCAGAACCGCATGGCACTGCCTCGCCCAGCTTCTCCTGGTGCTGTGCTGGCACCATCCAGAGAGAAGCAGGGACAACCCCAGACAGACCCTCAGAGGCTATGATGGGTGCAAGTGTCCTGGTCACCTCATGGCCTGAGGATTTCTAGCTACTGTCACCCTGTCTGCATCCCCCCAGTGAGATGCATGGAAACGTATGGGAAGGGAGCTTCGGCCAGAACCTCGGCAGTGTCTGTCCTGCAGTGGGCGGACAGTCCCCGCCCTGCACAGGGCGAGCTGGGGCCGCTTGTGTGCACCCACTTTCCCCTGTGGCAGGAACTTTCACAGCACAGAAACCTGCAATGAGACAGACAGGGCTCCTCCTCACGGATCCTGTTTAAACATTTACCCCCGCACCACGGCCTCCGTCCAGTCATGGGGTGGGTGTGTTACAGAGGTGCGTAAGGAGCAGTCTGCCTCCTGGAGAAGGTGGACAGGTGGTGGGTGCCCTATGCTGGCCATTTGCAGACGTCTGGCTGTAGCCCAGCCTCCCTGGGAAGATCAGGGCAGAGTGTTGGGAAGCAGAGCCACAAGGACAGAGGACCAGTCTGGGGACCTTGGGTGCCATCAGGGTACGGGCTCAGTCCCTCTGCCATGGACATTGGGAGAGGGTATTCCAGTGTCCCTGAGAGTGTCTGGTTTGGGAAGGACAGACCAGTGGAGAGGAGAGCTGTGTCCCTGCCCACTTCGTCCTGGTCCCATCCTCCTTCACGATGACATCCACAGACACAATCAGATAGGATCCAGGTGCAGGTGGGGAGGGTACGCTCAGCCTGTGGTCCTGGGGCCTCCTCTGAGTGGGAGGACGGTAGGAAGGACAAGGGAGGGTGAGGATGTGAACCTTCCGGAAGGAATGGGGTGGGGTGTAGTGTTCACTCGTGTCTGCGTGTAGCTGTGAAATCAGCAGAGAACCAGTCTGTATCACAGAACCCACAGGACAGGTGACGCCTGTGCCCGGGGTCCCAGCAGTCACAGTTGGAGGTGTGGCACTGTGCCCTGCTGGGGTTCACCGAAGAACAGACGGGCTGTGTGTCATTCTCCTCCAGGACGGGCAGATCACCTGCTTCGTGGAAGCTTGTCCACCTGCCACTTGTCCAGCACCTATGAAGATCAAAGGAGCGTGTTGTCCCATCTGCTTGAAGAAAACCACGGAGGAGAAGCCGTAGGCTCTGGAGAAGCTCCTTGAAGTTAGTCTGCTGGGTCATCGTGAGATCAGACGGCCGATACAGGCAGCTGCAGACCAAAGGAAACATCCAGGACTCAAGACGTTTCAGGACAATGTCCAGCCGGTGCTGTTACAGAACGTAGCGCAGGGAGCTTTCGACTGGAGTGCTCGTCAGGAAGGACACACGGAGCGGACACACGGAAGGGACGCAGGCACGAGTCCTAACTTCATGTTAGATTTCTCAGGTTTTTATTTAATTCTGTTAAAATGATAACTTGGTGCTACTATTAAATCGCACAGTTAATCCTTTAGGCTTCTAAATTTATTTCTCCTAATAACACCATTTCTTTTTAAATAAAGCAGGATCCCTGTAAATGTTAGTGCTGCCTGGCTCTGACACCGGGAGCTCACAGATGCGTCACCCGCAGGTGGGGTGATTACGGAGCCACCAGAAGGTCGCTCGCCAAAATCTGGGTTACATCAAATGCTACGTTTAAAAAGAAAATCGGTGTTTGGCAAATGGAACAGAATCGTGTATGAGCGTGTTCACAGGGACACAGGCTCCCGGCTCCCTCCATGGTAACCTTTGGCCACCTCCCCCTTCTGGGTCCTCTGTAACGTTTCGCAGGTCATAGCGTTAAATCATCAAACAGACATTCCCGCCACTCAGAGCGGCTTTGCACCATGTCTCTGGGTCAGCTCTGTCCACACATGATCATGACATTATTAGGCCACATCTAGGAACAGGTTTGTTTTCACTTATGACTTGCATGCACACTGCCTAGTTGTGAACCGAATGTGAAACCCTCTTCATCCCATTCCGTACCTGACGACACCTGCTGGTGACCGTGTGCGTTGACGAAACTGGTCCACGGCCAGGTCTGGATTTGCTCGTACCCGTGAGGCTCTGTCGCTGACCGGAGCACACGGAGGAAGAGCCACTCTCCAGATGCTTCTTCCCACGGGCTGAAGGAATTCGATTGTGAGAACTTTCTAACTTTAGGTTGTGTGAGCGTGTTAAGAAAAAAACGAACCCCTGTACCTCATTTGTATTTTTAAAATGCATGATGTTTTATGAAAATTTGCCCAGTTTTTAGGTGTTAGATTTGGCAGGAAATCATTTCCACTATGCAAAAGTTCTTCTAGGATTCAGTGAAAGCAACTCTCATACCTCATGGTCTCTCTCTTTTTAATTGACTGAAACCTTCCACTTTGTTCTGAATGCCACCTGGTCTGTGTTCTGAGAAACGATTCTCTGAACGTGCAAGTCCAGCTCAACCCACCTTTACTTGAGGGTCCACTGTGCGCCAGGCCCTGTGCTGGGGACACAAGATGCAGAGATGCAGGGACCCCTAGCCTCATAGAGCCTCCAGCTGAGGTTTCCAAAATTGGTGGCATCATATTGAGACCATTATTAGTGGGGATGGCAGGAAGGTCCCGCAGTGTCTGGCACATCATGGACTCTTACGATGTCGGGTGTGATTTGCACATGATGCATTTTCCAGTGCGAGCATCGATCCCCCTGAAAGAGACACCCCAAGACCTCCCTGCACAGTCTTCCAAGTCTCCTGGGGATGTGGGCAACAATCCTGCCGTGAGGTGGTCACAGCGAATTTGTGGTGTTTATGTATACAAACGGTTATCCTGACTTGTTATCCTCATGTTAATAAATAATAAATCAGAGCTGGTTGCTGTCCCATGGGACATGAACTTCTTTTGAAATATCAAGTCAGATTTTGTGATCAGATCTTGGCACAGATTTCTGTAAACTAGGAAATGTGTAAGTGTGTCTAAAATTTGATGGTTATGTAAGTTGCTCAGGTATAAAATGACAGTAGATTCTACATTTTGGGGGTGTCTTGCTGTTTCCTAAGTGCCTTGGAGGTGTGCTCATGGTCTCCTGCCATGGAGTATGCGTGGAGGGAGGTCAGGCGTGCAGCTTGGGCAAGTGTCAAGGGTTTACGTTCTCTAAACCGAAGCGGGGGAAGCTGACTGTGATTTACAGTAAAATTCTGTAATTCAGACCGAAATGTCTGCAGTTTATCAGTTTGATATTATATATATTATAAAAACAGTGGGCAGTTCCTGAACAAAGTTTTTTAGCAGCCACTGTAGGGGAATTGCGGTTATAGGAAGCAAAATGTACATATTTATTTACTTTTCTAACTGTTGCCAATAGCCAAATAAATGCCTTTTTAACGTTCATTGTATTTAGTATATTACCAAAGACGTGTTTGCACTATGTAATGATGCCTTTCAGTTCAAATAAATGGGCCACACTTTCAAATGGAGAATTTTGTTTGTTTGTTTGTTTGTTTTTACTTAAAGCGATGAAAAAGGCTGTACCTTGTTTACCAGGTGAGATCAAAAGTATAACAAAGAAAGGAGGCAGGTCCTAGGAATAAGCCCAAGAGGTGTCTAGTCACTAATTGTTTTATATGAAACGTGAAAAAGAAAAAAAAGAGAGGATTAATTAACAGGGACTCTTTTTTGCTAAGTAGCTAGGATGCTTTAACTAGGCTGACTTTGTCGTTTTAAACCTAGGGCAGGTGGGTGTTGAGCTCTTGGGATATGCCTCTAGCACCTGCCCCTACCTCCTGAAGTTGCTGTGCTGTGGACAAAGACATTTACTTGTCAGTGAGGAAGCGAGTAGGGCAAGCTGCACTCACCCTGTGGTCTAACGGGTGGGTGGACTGTCTTCCCAAAGCAAGAGCCCAGACCAGGGGGGACGGGAGTCACCGGAGACAAATGTTTCCTCCGCAGACCTGGGCTCATGCGTGGCTCAGCGTCTGGAAATAGGTGACAGTGTGTGACGATTCTTCATCCCTCGGGCTTTGGTCTGGGTGGGAGAGAGGCTGCTGCTCTGAAGAAAATGGGAAAGGATTTGAGGGTATTTTTATAAAGCTTGGGAAACAATCATTATAGTTTATATAATTATAAGAAAAAAATGAAATATTGGGGAAAAATTAAATGTTAAGTGTTTAAAATTTCCAAATATTTTAAAAACATGAATAAAAACCTTGGGCTGCTTTCATGAACATTCCACGTTACAGGAGCCGATATCCAAAAATTCTCCCATGCATTTTCACAGTGAGCTCCCCCAAACCTCCGTGTCACATCAGTGGTGAGCTCTGCCCACACGGGAAGGTCATAAACCTAAAATCATCTTCTGCAGCCATTCAAAAATTGTATTTAAAGACTCCAACAGCTCTCATTTCTTAGAGTGATAAATGTAATGTTGAATTTTTTTTTTTATGTATCGTTGATAGATTTCCATTGCACTTAATTCAGAATATTTCAAGACTGTAATTTTTGGCCTAGGGCTCAGACCCTTCAAACCTGTTGTAGGGACTGGGTCACCAGACCCCTCATGAGCAGGTCACAAGCTAGGTAATTGGGAAAGATCCTGGGAGTCACTGACAGGTTCATTCCAACTTGAGCTCAGTCCTCAGCTTCCTCAGCAGCAGCAGCAGTGGCCTCCACGTTCATCGTAGGGGCCCTGGCAGCAACATCCTCCAGCAGCAGTAGCAACCTCCCCATCCCCCCCCCCCCCCCCC